CCCCCCCAAGAACAACACCGTCCCTCATCGTCACACCACGGTCATGTCAGACCACAACGCCGGCATTATGGCGCGCAAGGACCTGAAGACGCTCGTGCCGCAGCCTAAAATGTACAAGAAGCCTCCGTTCACCGCCGAAGCACCTGGCGTGCAAAAGGTTGACGGCGAAACGGTCCCTCGCCGCAACATCCGGACCAAGGACCAGCTGAAGAACACGCCAAACCCAGACGTGTGCACCATTTTCGACATTGTGACACAATCGAGCAAGAAGTACGGCAACGCAAAGGCGCTCGGCAAGCGCCGGCTGATAAAGCTGCACGAGGAGAACAAGAAGGTGAAGAAGCTGGTCGATGGCCAAGAGAAGGAGGTCGACAAGAAGTGGACATACTACGAGCTGTCGCCATACGAGTACTTGTCATTCACAGAGTACGAGCAGATGGTTCTGAATGTCGGTTGTGGTTTCCGCGCGCTCGGCATGAAGCCGCAGGACCGCGTCCACATCTTCGCCGCCACACACCCATACTGGTTGGCCACGGCGCATGGAGCTCAGAGCCAGAGCATGCCCATTGTCACCGCCTATGACACGCTTGGAGAGGAGGGTCTCAAGCACTCTCTTCAGCAGACCAACGCCAAAGCCATCTTCTTGGACCCGCATCTCCTCACAAAGCTCGTCAAGCCGCTGAACGAGTCCAAAGACATACACTATGTCATATACAACGACGATGATGCGCCCACGAAGCAGTCTACTCCAGAGCAGACCAAGGCGGATGTTGAGAAGCTCAAAGCAGCTCATCCCCACTTGACCGTCTACAGCTTCACCGACTTCATCGAGCTCGGCAAGCAGAACAAAGTCGAGCCCACCCCGCCTTCGCCAGAGGATCTCTGCTGTATCATGTACACCTCTGGCTCCACTGGAGCGCCCAAGGGTGTGATGCTCACACACAAGAACGTCGTGGCCGCCGTGACTGGTGTGGATGTGGTAGTTGGCGCATACCTCGGTCCCGGAGACGGACTGCTTACATATCTCCCTCTTGCGCATATCTTGGAGTTTGTCTTCGAATCTGCTTGCTTGTGGTGGGGTGGCTCTATGGGCTATGGCAACCCCAAGACCATCTCCGACGCGTCCATGCGCAACTGCAAGGGTGACATTGCCGAGTTCAAGCCCACCATCTTGGTGGGTGTGCCTGCAGTCTGGGAGACTGTCAAGAAGGGAGTCATGGCGAAGGTTGAGAAGCTCAACCCAGTGTCCAAGAATCTCTTCTGGGGAGCAATGAGTGCGAAAACTTTCATGATGAACAACGCTAGCTACCTGCCACTTTCAAGTGTAGGCACTAACATTGTGGACAACGTTGTCTTCAAAAAGGTTGCTGAAGCCACTGGTGGCAGGCTTCGTATCTGTCTGAACGGTGGTGGTCCCATCGCCAAGGAGACACAACGCTTCATTTCCATGTGCATTGCACCAATGATTTCTGGATATGGTCTCACCGAGACGGCGGCCATGGGAGCGATTATGGACCCTCTTGCATGGACCGACCAGGCACTTGGCGAGATTCCAGGTTCTGTCGAAGTGAAGCTCGTTGACTTCCCGGATGCGGGCTACCACGCTACCAACAATCCACCACAAGGCGAGATTTGGATTCGTGGCGCCGCTGTGGCATCTGGCTACCTGGACCTTCCCAAGGAGACTGAAGAATCCTTCACGAGCGATGGCTGGTTCAAGACCGGCGATATCGGTGAATTTGATAGCCTCGGCCAGCTGAAGATCATCGACCGCAAGAAGAATTTGGTCAAGACTCTGAACGGCGAGTACATTGCGCTTGAAAAGCTGGAATCTGTCTACCGATCGACCAAGATTGTCCAAAACATCTGCGTATATGCTCAATCGGATAAGAACAAGCCCATTGCGATTGTTGTGCCAGCAGAACCAGCACTCAAGCAATTGGCCAGCGAAAACGGGATTGAAGGTCATGGTATCGAGGACTTGGCTCACAACAAGAAGATCAACAGTCTCGTACTCAAAGCCATGCAGGATACTGGTAGGAAGCAAGGTCTTGCTGGCATTGAAATCATCGAGGGCGTCGTTCTCACCGATGAGGAGTGGACTCCACAAAGCGTAAGTTTCCTTTCCAATGGTTTGACTCTTGCTCGTGAGTGCACATGCTAACCGCAGCTATTATTAGGGACTTGTCACCTCTGCCCAGAAGCTCAACCGCAAGGGCATTACGGAAAAGTACAAGAATGACATCAAGAAGGCTTATGGTGGCAATTAGAGCAGTGGCAAATAATGTATGATACCCCCCTCACTCACTCCAAATTTGGGGAATTGCCCATTATTGCGTGTGGACGCTCTAGAACAATGAACGTCCATCTGACCTCGTGGGGAGGCAAGAAGTAACGATGAGGATACGACCAAGCGTGCAAGCAAGCGGGCGTTCGAATATTTCTTTTGAGAAAATGGTAGAAACCCCGGCGGACATGTTGTGTTTAGTCCCTTGGCATAATTGAATTGAGATTTTCTCTTTTTCCTTTTTTGAGACCGCACAGTGTTCATCTACTCAAGTATCATGCCTTTTCTTGTCAATTTCTACCTCATCAGAACACCCCCCTCTCAAAGCCCTGTCGAGGACGGGAGTATTCGACCTCACCTGATGTCGCGACATCGAGGTTCATTTTTCAGGAGAACAAAATGTATACCTAGATACCTACTGGGTTGGCTGATGGGTTGGGTCAAGTATTCGCCACACAAACACCAATTTGTATTGTCGCCTGAAGGCCGCAATCATCGTATTTCGACAAATTGACTTTACCTCCTAGGTACCTTGGAGATCGAATCGGTCTGGAACAAATGCGCTGATCAGCGAGTAGGTAGTACATACATGTATTTGGATCTGCTACTCAGCAGCTTACACCTGCCACCTGGTACTATTGTCTCCCTATTATGCTGTACCTTAGTCTTCATGTAAAGCACGAGAGGTAGTGTTGCACGGAGTATCCCGCGCAGGGTTGCGGATGCACGTTCTTTACCATGTGCGCACGCTTCCGGCCGGAGACAGCACTTTGTGTGAATTAAACCAATTGGGGTGGCTTCAGGAATCAGAAGCAAGCGACAAGTGGCACTGCTTAGATGTCGGCTACCTATAAGCCTTGGGAGATGGCAGCATCACACCCTCCCAAACTTCATGATTGTTGGCGAGTGCGGCTACAGCCGCCATGCGTGGGAGGTAGGTATTCTCATCCCACTCAGGCACGCCGATTGACACGCCGATTGGAGAATTGGGTCTCACACCTGCCAATTCATTGGAGGGTTGACGTGGGCAGGTTTCTGGTCCTTGAAGAACCAAGTCTTTTCGAGGGCAGTCGGAGGACATATATCAACACAGCGATTCGTGCGATTCTGTGCATAGACACCATTGCGCTGGAGGAAGGATCGCGAGGATGTACCCTGGACAGTGGCATCTTGTGTATGGAGATCTCGTCAGGCGTGGTACACCTTGCGCTGGGGCTCGATCTGCCCAATTCTGCAACCTTTGTCGCCTGTTCAAGCCGATGCAGCCGGGTCCATGGTATTGCGATTCGTCTCATCTACATTGTTGAACACTGCTGTGCTGGATATGATGAGAATCAGCACTTACTGATGCCTATCCACATGAGACGTAGCATAATCATGCCTAGGTGTGATGCAAACACCTAGCCATGTTCTCTACATCATGTGATGATGCAAAGACAGCCATGAGTTTCACTGTAGGCTAGGAGGTACGGCTGTTCCCAGCCTGTCAGCCTCGCTCTTGTGTGCCGCGTAGGAGGTATGCGAGACTTTGAGCAATATGCTGGTCCGGGCCGCTATACATATGTTCGCAGTCCAGGTTCTTATGGGGCTCTGCAGCTTGGAGCCTCGATCGCCTAGACCGCTTCCCAGTTCAGCGCTGACAGCCGCGTGTGCTGCAATAGAACGATTGTCGGTACATATGCAACGACATGCAACAGCTCCCAGGGGGAACAGCTAGAGGCGAAGTTTGCAAGCCGGACAGCCTGGACTTTCAAATTTGCGATTTGAGAAGTGCTCACGCTTGCCTGGGCCCCCGTCCAACCGCCAATCGCCTTTCGGAGATGTCGGGAGAAGCTTAAGTGGCTGAGCAGAGCAAGATGATGGTGATGTGAGGTATATACCTGACATGTAGTGGGTGCGTTGGCAAGACCAGGTGAGTTCGAGGGAGGGAGGATGTGGACGGAAGTAAGGATGAATGGAGCGAGTGTCGTTCTTGGGCGGAGGGAGCGGCCGGGCCGGAAAGGAGCGGTCTTGTCTCGACGATTCCAACCAACACCACAGCAGGAAGTAGCGACGGAGGGGCACGAGCGACGCGAGCCAGAGCGGGCCGACTGGTGCGTGGCATCAATCATCATACCTCAGGTACCTCCTAGGTACATACCTACATTACCTTACATGTACTTACCTTTCTTACCTACCTAGGTACTACTGTCAGGTAGCCAAGGTAAGGTATGGATTTCGTGGCATCGGGCGTCGGAGCGTCGGAGAAGCAGCGCAGTCTCACTGGGGCGAGACCCGTCGTCGTGGTGGAGGAGGGCAGTGGGCGGCGATTCGTCGTGACCAGGTCACGCTGCAGACGGCGAGGCGTGAGAGGGAGGTGCAGTCCAATGGCGATGCGCCGCCTGCGCTGGCGTGCATATGGCCAGTTGACTGCCAGCGCTGGGCGGGTCCGAACCTATCGACTCCCTCCTGTACCGCCGATTCTTCCCTTCATCAGCTTTCTCCGCCACCCGCACGCGAGATACGCGCCGTCGGCTGCCTCTCCTCGCGACCGACCTCCTGTAAAAAGCGCGGCAAAAAGATGGTTGGTGGAATGGAACCCAACGGCGCCCTCCTCACATCGAATACCACCGGTACAGCCCCCGACAGCGTCCTCTCCGACTTAACATGACTGCTCGAGTAGGGTTACGTGTACTCTACAATATACCTACGACGACGACGACGACGACCATCACCACCATGATGACATCAAATCCCCAATGATAGCCCTTGCGGACGACCTGTTCACGACCCGACCACATTGCGTTCAAGTACGCCATACAAACACAAACCTGACTGGGACACGCTGTCGTGCGACCACCTATACCACCAAACACACTTGCGCAGAGGCGTCATCTGGATCTACCGCGCCAGATCTGGACTTCCACCGAATTGCTAGCTACAGCATATGATCGAGCTCCAGTTCGACCATATTGCTCCCACGGATAGCTGCTCCTCATGGTAGCCCTTCACCACCGCCCCGAAATCGACGACATGCGACATGCCTTTGACTCGGCCTTGTGTCAGTCAGAACAGGACAGTTCTAGTACGCGCAGGTCGTATGATCCATCGAGGTCTGGCAGCGACAACTCGTATCGAACGGCCGCGACAGAATACTCGCAGCACTCCACGAAGCGAACCGCTCGCACTCAACATGCTGCCAGTGATTCCAGTGCGCGATACTCTGCGCACAGACAGCCGCAACAGAGTCCACGATGCTCTATTGAGACCTATGCCTCGACCGTCGCAAGTGAAGAGGAGGTCCAGGAAGAGCTGCCCTCACTAGGCTTTGATTTGCCCGAGTACATCCCACACGCAGGAGGACCGACCGCCATTCCTACGACACCCGCCGACTTCTCTGAGCTCTTTCCGTCACGTCGCAGGCTATTGATCGGGCACGATGACTCCGTTGACGGCGATATGAACTTGCGAGTTGGGACTGAGGTTAATATACGCGGTCAGAGACAAGACATGACCCTGTTCCACTTACGAATGCATCACCTTGGCGATCGTGAATTCTCGCTTCGTAGGTACTGCCGCGACAGTGGGAGGGAAGTGTGCCATTCGGCACGCATGCTCGAAAAGCTGCCATCTAAGAAGCGGCCCGGCTTGACGCGCTCATTGAGTGACGCCTTGAACAGCCTTCGTCCCAAATTGGAGTCCAGAAGTTCTACATGGTCGACCATGAAACGTACCGACTCTGGCTATGGCTCTTCTTTGAACTCCTCGATCGAGGTCGACCACGATGAGCAAAAGACTTCATGGGGCGCCGCCGCGACCCCCCGTCCACAGGCCGTATCGCCCAATTCGATCAAGCTTGAATTCTCAAATTACGCTCAAGTCGAGGTTAGGCGCACTGGGGTGAAAAGCAGCAAGCGTTACGAGTTTGAATATTGGGGTTCCAGCTATAGTTGGCGGCGAATGGTTCGAAAGCATGGACACGCCACATCAGTGTCTTACAAACTCACCAAATCTGGATGTGATCGTGCGTTGGCACATATCGTCTCGTCGACGCTCACGCCCATGCAAGCCGAGGAAGAGCGTCAGGCGGGCCGTTGGATTTCGCCCTGTTCGATGTGGCTCGCGGATGACGATGTCACTCAGGGCCAGAAGGATGTTGCAGAGTAAGTCTTGCAAACTTCACGGGTGTCGCTGTCGAGCATTGAATTCTGTCTTGTGACGAGTTTCGGAAGGTAGTTTGCCCGCGTGCTGAAGACCACTGGCGGTCAAGCCCTTTCAGATGCAGGCTTGAGTATCTGCACTCGGCCAGCGTACATCCTTGAATCCTCTCCCGTGTCGGTGACGCTGCTTTGCTGACAATGCTTTTAGCGTCGTTGTTGCTACCGGCCTGATGGCCCTCGTTGACGACTCCATCAGAACACACTTCAACACAAGACCAACGCTTCAGTATGTTGGACCGAGACGAGTGATCAATGAGATATTGGGGCGGGAGCCGAGTGACCAGCAGGGCCTGCAATCAGCGCACCACCAGGAAACCCGCCCTTGGAGTCGCGGCACAAGTACCACCAGCTCGCGCACTCCAGCGGGGGCGGTCAAGACTGCTATTTGATTGTAGATCCGCGTGTTAGCGTGTGCGACGAATGACGCCCGTTTCTTGATCAACGGCACGCAAACGTGGCGGTCAACACGGGTTTTGGGCAGTCTCGTAATCGATCACGTCGTAGCACTGAAGCCCGGCGATGCGTCGTGCCGCCGTGGGGTCCGGGAACCTTTTTCAACGTCTGTTTTCTGGGACAGAGATTTGATAAATGGCATCGTCTGGAGAAGCGGCTCATACAGTGATGGTGCGCAAGCATAGCATGTCAACTATGTCTCGGTGGGGTCATACTAACAGCATGGGCATCGCATTAGCGCTGTATTATTCATTGGGCGGCGTTTGATGTTGGGGCCTTGAGGCGGCTGTGTTTCAATCGTCCCGCGCGAAGCGGTTCTCAATTGCTGGTCCATATCAATACCAACACAGAGAGCATCACATGAAAGAGATGTTGAATGCGGCTTTCAGAGGGTCGAGATGTTGATTCTGCACTCAGTACAAACGTGCTCTACGGAGCTGAGCCCAATACCTGCTGTCTGCAGTCTATCAGCAACGGCTTGGAGCTCCAAAGTAAAATAGACCGCATCTTTGCAGTATTTCGCTTCCAATGCGGCGGCCAGCTGCGAGTTCCCGTCTTGCAGGCGGCATGCGCGCGATAGCGGGACTGTCATATCTCAGACGCCAGGTCCCGAAGTGGCACAATGGAAATACATGGTGAGTGCAAGATTTGGCAAAACAAAGCACACAAACGCAAGTTTGCTGGCATAGGTTGTGGTGGAGCGCAAGCATTTCTATGCGTCTGGACGTCATTACTTCTGCACGTCGTCCATTCCGGGCTGCTGATGAATACCTTATGCTGGCTTTTGGTCATCAAGCCGTCGACACGTAGACCACCCACCCACCCGCAGTAGTTCACATGCAGCATGCTGGCTGGATGTCAACAGCCGGCCGCGTTGGTGGCATGAACTGTGCTTGTGCATGGGGAGGGGGAAGGGGGAAGGGGGGTGAGAGGACGGCCATTATCTCCATCTTCTCATTCGCTTCCTTTGCGAGTTACCTTTTTTCAGCTTCATCACAGCACGACGGTACATGTAGTAGCAGTAGTTAGTTAGGTACAGTAGGTAAGGTATGTAGTACTGTAGTTTAGTTACTATGCCTTGAATATGCGCCGACCGGACGAAATCCCCAATAATGCAGCCGCGTCACACCACTCGTCACACCCGCACACACACGCACATACACAAGCACATACACAGCCACCCTTCTGTGAAGACAAATCTTTCATGTGCTCCGGGTCTAGTAGGTCTTGGGTACATGTAGTTACGGTAGGGTAGTTTAGGTACAGAAAGGAAACTCTCGGCACGGCTGTAAAGGAGAGCCCTGCCGTGCCGATCCACACAACACTGGACCTACCTCCTACAGCCTACAGGTACCCTACCTGTACCTTTTAAACTTATGCACAGCAAACGCGTGATGAATAGGCGTGAGCTCGTAAAAAAAGGGAAAGAAAAAAGACAAAACCAAGCAAATAAATTATTGGCCATGGGTTCGTCGTTCGTGTGGGTGTGGGTGTGGTGCCCCCAGTTACAGGTAGTTTGCCGGAGATGAAATGCGGGCGGCCTTTTTTGTTTCCTTTTTTTGCTTGTGGGATAAAAGAGTAGTAAGGTAGGTAGCTACATGTAGCTAGCTAGCTAAGGTGTGTAGATAGGTAGGTACCTTAGGTATGGATGGATGTTGTTGGTGTTGTTGTTGTTTGTTGCGAACAATCACAAATCATACAGTACCCTCTAGGTAGGTAGGTTAGGGTAGGTACCTTACCTAGGTAGGTACCAACGAACGAACTGCGAGACCGTACTCCATCTTTTTTTGTTCTCTCTTACCCTATCCTGTCTTTCTCGCCTCTCTCCCTCCCTCCCTCGTTTCCTAGGACCGGCCGACCGACAGAACGGACACACACGGACGGACGGACGGGACTGGATGACGGCCGAGAGACACGGACGGCTGCTTGCTTTGCTTTGCTTTACTTCGCTTTGCTTTGCTCAACACCCGCCTGCCGCTGCTGTCACGTTGTTTTCCTTTTCCTTTAGAGAAGAGGGACCGTGACCACTTCTTGAAGCGGTAAAAGAGGAAACGCAGCGGAGAGAGGCCCAGCTGGTGTCCCATTCTCTCCCAAGCACCAAGAAAAAAGAGTATATAACTCTGCTCTTCTTCAGGCACCAGGTCCAAGAGGTTTTTTTTTTCCTTTTTGTATCCTCTCACCTGCAGCGGCGGCTAAGTCCAACAAACGACAAACTATCTCGTCCCTGATACCTACCTACCTACCTGCCTACCTGCCTACCTACCTTACCCCCCCAACAATTCGTACGAGGACTTGATTTGTTGTTTTTAGGTGGCGGTGCAGCTGTTACCTACCTACCTCACTCCAAACTCGAAACGGTCATCGCTATTAGCTGGCTAGCTCCTAGCTCTTCTTCACACGATTACCTACCTTGCTTGTTTTTTTATATTTTAGTTGCCTGTTACAGCCATACCAACCGAACCTACGAGCTCCCTTCCCCGCTTCATCGAAGCAACGACGGACGAGAGCATCATCATGTCTTCGACCACTTCTTCCCAAGGCACTGCTGGCGGTGCCCAGTCCTCACCACACCAGGAGCGTCTGATCAGTGAGTCTATCATCGTCACATCTCTCTCCCATCCTCATCATCCCCCACGAGGCTTTCTTCTCGCTTCGACCTAGCGTAGCAGCAGCATACTTGCTAACTGTCTTCCCCTCCAACAGGCTTCTGCCGTCAGCAAGGTGCTCGAACGCCAAACTTCCAGATCGTCTCTGATCGCAGAGGTAAGCACTCGTTATCCCATTCACAGCCCTATCGACTTGACCTCTCTCTTCTCCTCTCTTCCTCTCTCTTCCTCTCTCTTCCTCTCTCTCCCTCTCTGTCTTCCTTTCCCTCTTCATCTCGCCCCTCCTCTCTCTCCTCCTCTCCCCTCCTCCTCTGTCTCTCTCTTCTTTTTCTTTTCCTCTCCTCTTCCCTCCAAACTAACACGTCATTCTCCCAGGTGGCCGTACAGCCTGGAGCTGCGTCGTCACAGTTCAAGGAACGCAGGTGCCGGCGCGATTCTGGTACGACGGTCAATATGTCAACAACGCCAAGGAAGACGCTGCGGAGAAAGCCTTGCAGATGTTGGGTGTTTTGCCCACTCCACCACAGAGTCAGTCTCTACCCGCCCACCTTCGCCAAGGCAGTCAATGCTATGGTGGCAACAGCAGCATGATCAACAGCTGAATATTGTCCGCTTCTTCTTCTTTATCAGATCGTGCGACTTGATGCACACAACAGACTTGCTCAACTTTTTCCATCTTTTTCGTCTTGGTTTCGGAAACCTCAAGTGTGGTTGCGTGCTGAAAAGCAACAATGCTGGAAAGCTGGCGGGTGGGGGTCTGTATTATAGCTGGAGCTGGGAGGCATCGGTCGGTCTTCGGACTGCATGGCGTTCGTGTTCTTCTCTTCGTGAGGACTGGCTATGGTCAGGTCACTGGTTAGGCACGGCCAGAGGGGGTTGGGTGGCCTCTTGGGGGCGGCAGTGCGAGGGTCTTCGGGAAGAATGGCATTGCATTGCATGTAGCATACATATGGCCACGCTGATGAGTTGGTCTTTTCCTTGATCATGATGGGAGGAGTAGGTTAGAGCATAGTGAATGTTGAGCACCGGCGAATGGAAGTTCGTCTCTACCTCGCCTTCGACTACTTCCCTTCTGCCTCATGTTCAGCTGCTGAGTTATTGTTGGATGGTAGGATGTACATGGAGTATTCCAGACTGAGGTGATACAGGCAGGTATGCTCGCGCGAGTCAAGCAGAAACTGCGGCGGGATCAGTCAGCAGCAAAATCTGAAGATTCAATGTCTCCACTCCCACCCACACCCCTCGCTTCCTTCCACCACCACCCGAAGATTTGCGACGGGATTAGTCCAAAGATAAGAGAAATCCTTCGGGCATGATAAAAGCATGCGCGGATCACCGCCGCGCAATCCTGTAATTCCTATCTGGTTCGCAGCTATGTCGACTACCAGACTTTCACTTCACTTGACGACGGGAGCCTAAGAGTAGGTTTGCCCGTGAGAGCCAGCACAATTCTCATTCTTCCCCTTCCAGACCATCTCCATTGCATCGTTCCGTTTATCGTAAAAGTCAACGTCCCATCTGAGATCGCGTGTTCGCATAGAGCTAGCTGTTGAAAACAGGCCGAAGTTGGGAGAGTCTGGGGACAGGATGGTCTCCGAAGACTACGTCAAAGATGACCATCCGGATACAATAGTGCCAGAGACGGGCCCCAAGAAGACGTGGTCCGATCGTCGAAGAGGATTCATCAAGGCATTCACGACGAGAGAAGGCCTCATAGGCAATTACGACTATGTGTTCTTGTTCACGCCGAACATTCCCTTCATGAAGCGCAGCCGTCGATCTGCTGCCCCCTTCTTTGGTCTCCATGATACCATGCCGGTCTTCCTCGCACTGCTTCTGGGACTCCAGCACGCTTTGGCAATGCTCGCAGGAATCATCAGTCCTCCCATTATCCTTTCGGGAGCGGCGAACTTGACTGGTGAGGTGCAGAATTATCTCGTCAGCACGGCACTCATTGTTTGCGCATGCCTATCCGTCATCCAAATCACTCGCTTTCATATCTGGAAGACGCCCTATCATCTCGGAACGGGCTTAATCTCCGTCGTTGGAGTCTCCTTCTCAACGATCCCGGTCGCGACGGGAGCATTATCGCAAATGTATGCAAACGGGTACTGTCCTACAGCGGCGGATGGAACGCAATTACCATGTCCTCGTGGCTACGGAGCCATTTTGGGAACACAATGTGTCTGCGCACTTCTGGAAGTGTTCATGTCGTTCATTCCTCCCCGATGGCTGAAGAAGATATTTCCGCCCCTTGTGACGGGGCCTACGGTACTGCTCATTGGCGTTGCACTCATCACGACTGGTATGGAGAATTGGGCGGGCGGCACAGGAAGCTGTATGTCGAGGCCTGAAAGTGGCATCTATCAGCTTTGCCCCAATACTAACGCTCCGCACGCATTGCCATGGGGCAGCGCTGAGTTCATTGGATTGGGTTTCTTGGTTTTTGTGACTATCATCATGTGCGAAAGATTTGGCGCACCTATCATGAAGAGTTGCTCAGTAGTCCTTGGATTGCTAGTTGGCTGCATTGTTGCAGCAGCTTGTGGTTACTTTGATCGATCCGGTAGGTCGTTACTGCCAAATTATAACCCTGAATAAGGTACGTGCTAACATACTGCGTACTCCAGGCATCGACGCAGCTCCTGTTGCCAGCTTCATCTGGGTGCACACGTTCCCATTGTCAATCTACGGACCTATTGTTCTACCTTTACTGGCAGTCTATATCGTGCTCACCATGGAGACAATCGGAGATGTGACAGCAACCTGCGATGTCAGTAAGCTCCAAGTTGATGGCCCCATGTTCGACAGCAGAATTCAAGGGGGTGTATTAGCAGACGGCATCAACGGCATCCTCGCTGGATTGTGCACCATCACACCCATGTCTGTCTTCGCTCAGAACAATGGTGTGATCGCACTGACGAGATGCGCCAACCGCAAGGCTGGCTATGCTTGCTGTTTCTGGCTACTCATCATGGGCATATTTGCCAAATTCGCAGCAGCTCTGGTAGCCATCCCATCATCCGTACTCGGCGGCATGACCACATTCTTGTTTTCTGCAGTCGCAGTCGCGGGTATCCGCATCATGTCGACAATGCCATGGACGCGACGAAACAGGTTCATTTTGACAGCTGCGCTGGCTCCAGGATTTGGCGCAACATTGGTACCGACTTGGGTAAGTTCGAATAATAGAGCTGCGGGATGGAGCCATAGCTAACACAACTAACTCATTAGTTCTCCTACGTCTTCACATACACTGGTGACAATCACGCTCTCACCGGCTTTTTTAACGCGATATCGCTTGTGATGGAGACAGGTTTTGCTGTCGTAGCTTTTCTGGCTCTGATACTCAACTTGCTTCTGCCAGAAGAAGACGAGGACGAAGACATTCCTGAGTTGACAGCAAATACTGCCGACGAGCAGGATGATGCGGAGGAGTGGGATCGAATACGAGCGGTTCGTGATGGTACATCTAGCAGTGAGCCCAAGGGCACAGCATCCTAAGGTGCTTATCCACGATCAAAACATCCAAACTATTATCGTACGAATTCCCTGAAGTTGTTGTATCCGCCTCTTTACCGCGAGCGTGCTCGGTATACCCAATGTGGCGAACCCGAGTGACAAGCTCTCTCCCCTCTTTCCACCTCCACAATCTTCCTCCATCTGACCATGTTCCCTCGCACAAGTACCGTGTATTAATAAGCACCTGTAGTCCAGCAGCACAATGCTACGCAGCGTATCATCACATCGTAGGGAAACCCATCTCTCTCATACCTTTCTGATACAGCCATATACCATCCACCACACCTCGCAACCACAATGACAACCACTGAAACAGAAGAAACCCCCCCTCCCTCTCCAGCGACAACATCAACGTCAACAAAACTAGAAACCTTCCACTTCATCAACTCCCCCACCTCGTCTATAAACGAAGCCCTCACAGGTCTCACCCACCTCCATCCCAATCTCTCCTACAACGCCGAATACAAAATCCTCTACCGCTCCGACCTCGCCTCATCCTCTTCTTCGACCTCCAAAAAGAACAATGTCACAACCATCGGGTTCTCCGGAGGAGGTCACGAACCCATGTTTGGAGGATTTGTCGGGCAAAATTTCCTCTCAGCGTACGTTTCAGGAGAAATTTTCGCTTCGCCGACTGCGAGGCAGATTTTGGAGGCGATTAGATTATGTCAACCTCATCCTCATCATCCAGTAGAAGGCGAAAGTAATAAAGAAGGAGGAGGAGGAGGTGGAGGAGGAACATTAATCGTCTGTGGGAATTACACGGGAGATATTTTAAATGCGGGTTTAGCAGTGACGAGGGCGCGGGCGGAAGGGTATCGAGTACATTTTACTCCGGTGGGAGATGATGTTGCTGTGGGGAGGCGGAAGGGAGGATTAGTGGGGAGGAGAGGGTTGAGTGGACATTTGGTGGCGTTGAAGTGTGCGTGTGCGCTTGCGGAACGAGAGGGAGAGTCGACGACGACGACGGCGACGTTGGAACGGGTGGCGGAGGTGATGGAGTATGTGGCGGGGAATGTGGGGACGATTGGGGTCGCGTTTGATAGGTATGTTGTCATATGGGAACGAAGAAAAACAGTACAACTGCGAGAGGTCTTTTTTGTTGTGTGTGCAAGATCTTTGTAGTGGGAAGGTTGCTGATGAAATTTTGTGTTGCAGAGTTGCTTTGCCAAATGCTACATTGACAGATCTGCAGAATCTACCACCTGCGACGATTGAGCTAGGGATGGGGGCTCATGGTGAGCCTGGATTGCAGCAGATTAGTCCCGTCCCTTCGCCAGAGGCACTAGTATCGCAAATGCTGGATCTTCTCCTCGACGTGTCAGATACCGATCGAGCCTTTATTCCATTCTCGAAATCGACGAATCCGACGACCGACAATGAGGTGGTCTTACTATTGAACAGCCTGGGAAGCACATCTGACGAAGTACTCGCGAGATTTGCAGAGCTAGCGATATCGGAATTGGAACAGCGCGGGTTCGTCGTACGAAGGTTGACATTGGGACCTCTTGTCACCTCCCTCAAGATGAGTGGCTTTGGTATCACGGTATGGAGACTGCCTCCGATAAGTGGGGAAGCGCTGGAAAGGGATGCAGCTGTAGAACTCTGGGATTCTCCAGTCGATGTCTTAGCATGGCGGCAGTAGCGCTCCAGGCTGATGATCAGCGTACTTAATCGACTCGAAACACTTCTTCTAATGGTTTCCACCTATGTTGAATTGATGTGAGCTCGTGTTGGGAAGCTGCAAGAGTCAGAGACCTTACCATCCTTTGGGATCTGTGCTGCCTTGAGCACCATCCACGAGAGTTTCTTGCATACCATCGGTCATCTGCCTACGATCCAGACGCACATATAAGTCAGCACGGGGCCTGCGTTGATGGTTTCTCTTGGACATGGCTATCATACCACCATTCCCGCACTTTCGGATTTGCTTTCATCTTCTCCATATCTGCGTCATAGTCGTCACCGACGTACTTCATCGTAGCGAACAAAGTCATCGACTGGTCGTCCAAGAAGATGGAGTAGTCGACAATGTTACAGTCCTTGATTTGTTGTAGCACAGCCGGCCAAACAGCGTCATGGCATTCTTTGTAGGCCTGGAGCGACTCGCGCTTGAGACGCACGATTTGCGCGATGCGGCGTGGTTCTGGAGACATAGTCTTTGTCTATTGGTTGTTGGACGGCAAGTCACTTTGTTCGAGAGGGGTTGTGATGATGATGATGATGAGCTTTGAACATTTTGAAAGATACATGTACCGCGTCTTATAATCAATCTATTCGGTGTAGATGGGGCCGAGGCAATGCTTGCCTCAATGTGGAGCCAGCTTGGTTCAGGAATTCCTGCTCTGTATGGCGGGCCGGTAATCAAGTGTATAATTTTCACGACGCAATCTGTTACGATGCTCAGGCAGAGGTAAGTACGCGCTGGAGGTGCGTGCATTTTACTACAGCGGCGCCTAGAGTGTAGACTTGCGGCTCACAGGTATTGGTGTTGGAGCTCCATCATAGCATTTGACGTGCTAGCGACTTGAATGATACCATCACGCAGCGTAATCAGAGTAGGACCCGAATATGAGCGCACGACCAGAGTCTTCCACATCGCGACGCTGGGCGTCCTCGAGGTTCAATAGGAGGCGAGCAGTTGAGACCAAGATCTCTGGGCATTTTATCAGTGAACGGCACTCTTCGACTTCTACTTCTTTCAGCTCACCTTCCAGCTCTACATTATAGCTCACGGGACTCTCGTACTCGCTGGCCAAGATTGGTTGGTCCCGTCTCCATTTCTGCTCTTTGACCCGAAACTTGATACCATAGTCCTCGCGGCCAGTATTGAGCCAAAGGATGCTGGGATCTTTGTGAGGGTCTGTCACACCGGTAATGCTATCGGATCGAGCTGTGCGATTACCATCGCCATCCTCGTGAATTATTGCAATCTGCTCACCATCCGTCCACCTCTTGCTCTCGCACTGTTTGGACAGCCAGTTTCTCCATACACGAATGGTCCCTCTACAGACATCGACAAAGCCGCACAGGATGCCTGCAGTGCCTTGGCGTCTGCCGAGAAAGGCGACTGTCTCGAGCTGCGAGAAGAGGCAGTCGGCATCAATGCTCACCACTCTCATCACGGCATTCCCAGCATCCGCTAGCTTGGCCGCTGCGGCTTCTGCTGGCACATATGTCCGCGATCCAGGTATGTCGCCTGCTGGATGTGGTCGAGGCAGACTAAGCCAGTCGGGCTCTTTTGTGACGGGCCTGAATCTAGTACGCAACTGTCCCATTTGTTTTATAATACCAACACATTTGTCACCACGCTCGATGTCTGTGCTCAACTCTTGCATACCACCGGTGCCCAGACCGGTACAGAGAACTTTCTGAAGAGTCCATTTCGCTGCTGGAGGCCCGCACTCCAGATACATCGTATAGCCATCAAGAGCTGCTGCGAGTTGCAGTCTGTGCTGCAGCAAACGTACCACGAGGCTGTGAAAGTGGCGGTTGGTGGTGGAGAATTGGACCAGTTCCCTCGTTGGAAAGCTACTCAAGATGCTGAGGAGTATCTAGGTACATAGACATAGTCAGTCTGTGCTTTGATAGTGTGAGTACGACGAGTCCTACTTCATTGGGCAAGACGAAGATGCCGCGCATAACGTCTTCCATGTCCGCCATGTTTACGATAGTACTACGAGAAAAGAATATTTCAACAGACAGCTGCGACACACCCTAATTCACTTAGGTATCCGAGAGTGATGATGATGATATACACGGACGGTTGAAAGGATGATTGATGCGAGCCTCGTCCCTTCCTCGTGATTTGGCGCGCTAGCGTGCCTTCCGCGTCGCGATTTCCCGACTTCAACCTCTGTAGACATCACTTCTCGGTTTGCCGGCAGCCAACCTTGATACCAACTCTACCTATACAGGCTCAGCCCGCGATGGCTCGCCCTACTGCATCGGGCGTGCAGGGCTTCGTCCTTCGCCAGAATGGCATGGCACAAGACGGTGGTGCCGATGATACAAAGGCCCTCGAGCGCAAGTCATCTAAGCTCTCGGATCAGGAAATCCAGAGTATGAAAGTACAGCCACAGGCGACTTCAACTCAAGGCAAATCACAGGCAAACACACGCACCGCGCGAGATATTGATGGTCCGGGGCAAATGAAACGATCTCAGTCAGGAATGAGATCTGCGCCAAAAGGCATGCTTTCGACAGATGCTAGCAACGCTGTTCGTACATCAGCCTCCGGAAGCACGCAAAACGCAAAGCAAGGTAAAGAGAAGAAGCCACCGGTCCAAGTTGAGCCTCATGCAGACGAAGTGGCCAGCGACGGAAGTTCAGTGTATGAGACTGATGAAGATGAAGATGATGATGGGCTTCAACAGCCCTCTGTCAATCAGGCCGACATACAGACCCGGAACGCGCATGTTCCTAATGTCTTAACCGAGCGTCGCATGACTGGTGATTCCTATCCTGCTACTACGTCGGGAGTGCCCTCTGAAGTGGACGTCCATGACGCGCAACAGCAATCACAGAATCATGCTCGCGGCATGCAAGTGCCTACGGGAATCATGCCGGTGCGAGGCTCAGGCCCCCGTGGTGGCATGACTGTCCCGAATGTAGCTGTACCGCGACTCGATACGCTGGGTCAAGCCAGCCGACCAGCGCACGTAAACATCACGAGTGAAATTGGGGCAGGATTTCAATTTGGGGTGGCTCCGGCGATTCAACCCAAAGTCAACAGATCAGTTCATCATGGTCCGCAGCCAATGCCGCACCCACAACGCAATCCACCGGCCCAAAATCATCCACCGCAAGGTCCAGGCCAACAGCATCGCATCGTAAACCAGCACTTGCCTCAAGCTCCCGCGAATGCACAACGAGCCCCAGCTAACACGCAAGCTGTGTCGAAATTGCCAGCCTCCGAAAAGCAGGTTCTAGTGCTCCCCTCCAACAAGCCTGTGATCCACCAAGAGTCTCATCGGCAATTGGGCGATGTCAACCACCAAGATGCCCTGCCACATCCATTGCATTTCACACAAATGCCTGCTCATGAGAGAAATGTACACAAGAGCCACACGTCAACCGTGAATCCGCAGCCACCTTCATCGGATGTGCAACAGCCGAGTGATCATCAGTACTCGGAATTTGAATATCTGAACGTGGGAGATGGTAAGGATTATGGGCACATGGACGAGCAATATCCGGAAGAGCAACATGCTGAGGACCAGCCTCCCGAAGAGCAGTACTCAGAGGAGCAGCACCACCCAGAAGAGCGTCAGGACATAGACTACGCTGAGTCCGAACTGTTCAGCAAAAGCTATGCAGACATCAAAGCGCAGTCTTTCGACCTGGACCCTTGCGCCGTGCCACTGAATTTACCACAGGAGCTTCCGACAGACAATCTTCATCAAAAGCTCGTAAGCGTGATGAAGTTGAAGACGCAGCCACAGCAACCGAATCCTCAGTTTGAGTTGTTCAAGTCTATGACTTTGACTGAATGGGAGGAAGCTGGAGACTGGTTTCTCGACCGCTTCAGCGACCTCATGGCCAAATTGAAGGCTGCTCGCAAACAGAAGCGAAAGATCGCGCATGACTTCGAGTGTGAGATTGAGCAGCGCCACGAGGCAGTGGCTAAGAAGCAGAAATTGACCCAGGCCGCCCTTGACGAAATGAAAATGACTGGTGGGAAGGTCTTGGAAGGCACGCCGAAGAAATCGCCGAGGAAGCCGACGAAGGCAAAGAAGTGATGAGAGAAGGACCACTTTTCTTGTTAACGGGAAGCAGACGACGACATTGTTCTACGAGCATTTCAAGATGACATGAGTGTACGAAAAGCTGAAATGGTCGAGACCATGGCTAGTGTTGACGACGACTGCAATCTCCCCCGCATGATACCCACTTTGTAATACCAAGTCAAACCACATATCCACAACATCCCTTTTCTCTGGTGATGTCTCTCGAGACAATAGGGAGTTTCGCCTAGTAAGGCAGGTAGGTACGTACTCGTCGCTATTGCCGGTCATTCGTTCCGAACCACCCGACTTCAAGCTTTATCTGCTGCACTCCACTGTGTAAAGAAACCGAAGCCTTATTATTACCGTAAAGAGGCATCGTACCAATCATGCATTATTATGCAGTATGCACCCACACACCCATGCTGCATGCATGCATCAACCACCACCACCACCATCATCCCCGTCCCGCATGTGATTATCGTCCCACTACACCTCATCATCATCATCACATACATGTACGGTAGTCAAGCCTTTTTTCACCCCACGCCGTTCCCGCTTTTTCTCCACAAGAAGCATATGCAACGCAACCTGCACCTCACATGCGTAAAGGAAGGAAGGATTCGAAGGGAAGGATTCTACCGAACTCGTTTTTTTTCTCTCTCTCCTTTTAATTTCCCGGTCCGGAGGTCTTCGGTCTTCGAATGTCCGTCAGACGCTGATCCTCATGTTATTTTATTATAACCATCAGCAAGCAGGCATCCGTTTCAACGAGTTCAGCTACTCCAATCAATTAGGGTACTACTAGTACTCAACTTAGCTCAGCCTCAGCTAGTTCAGCGGGGAGCTAGGCAGCCAGTTTTTAGCCGGTGAACCCCAGATAATCAACCCCAGATACTCCCCATCATTATCATCAGCGTCATCATCAGCATCATCATCATCAATTACCCGGACTACAATGTTTACAATCCCCCCGATAGCTAGCGGCCGGCTTTTCACGCCTAGTGTCGGCGTTTTTTTCTTTCTTCCATCAAGAAATTGCCTTGTTGTTCAAAGAAAATCAAGAAAAGAAAAGAGGTACCCTGGTAGACCGTAGCAGGAGTAAGTGAGTACCTACCTACCTAGCAATAACACGTCAAACAACAAGAAACGGACATACGATGTTTTGCCATATTAGTAGGGAACTTGGAAAAAACTTGAAAATCTCCTGGATAAATAGATTATGGATGGATACATGCCTGCTATATACTGTTACCTACTTTATTTTACCTAGATAGGAAGCAGATAGGCAGACGAGACAAGACAGAAAGGCAAGACAAGACAAGACAAAGTAGGCAGATAGATTGTACGTACCCAGGAGGAAGGAGATAGACCAGCTGACGTCTTTTTTTCGGATTCCGCCTCTTGAAGAGACTAACTAGTAGACTAGTAAAGAAACTCTAAGAGGGGAGTCTGGAGAAAAAAAAAACTGATTTGGAGGAGAAGAAAGATTGGAGGGAGGTACCTCCCAGTAGGTGGGGTAGTGAGATTGCGGAGAGCGAACAGAATAGAATAGAACAAGTAACGAATGACATGACCGAATGACCGAAGAAAAAGTCACATGTATCTAACATGTACCTTTTAGATAAAAAAAAAGTGATGTTGTTGACGTCGGGGTTTTTTGTTTATGTCAATCAATTATTGCCTATAGGACAAACAAACCAAACCAAACCAAACCAAACTAAAACAAGGAAAAAGGAAGAGAAGAAGAAGAAGAGAAGGGAAGAGAAGAGAAGAGAAAGAGATATATACCGATTTGACAAAGTTGGGTAATGTATATGGATACCTCCTACTACAGATCCTTCCTTCTAGGACGCAGTACCTCCTAGCAATAGGAAGAAAAGTTCCTTTCAAAGCTACCTAGTAATTATACTTACCTGTATCCATCTCTATCTCTCTCTCTCTCTCTCCTCGCAAAACTTCGCACAGAGGTAGGTGATAAGAAGAGATTGCCCCGGGGGAGTGGGGGATCTAGATCCATACCTTACCTCCTACCTCCTAGCTACATACATGTTGGCTACTTGACGGTAAATGACGGATCAAATGTCCAAGGTAAGATAGGGTAGGTACTGTACCGTACTGTAGGCTGTAGCCTGTAGGTAGAGACAAGACACGTTATCATCATCATCATCATTGACCATCATAGATTCACGGTGAGAAGTTGAGGGTGGTGCGTTCGATGATGTAACCCTACCTAGGTACCTGACCTTGTAGTCTTGGAAGAGTCCAGATAATGTGTGTTGTGTGTTTTTTTTGGGGGGTGTCACCAGCTCAGTGCACCATCTATACCTTACCCTACCTACCTACATGTACCTACTACCCAAGTGATCATGTGGATAAGACAACTTCGCCAAAAGAAGGAGTAGAGTTGAGCAATCTCATTCAAAAAGCCAGTCGCTTGGTGTGACTGTTGGTATCGTGACGCACCAATTTCAATCTATTCCAGACGCAATCTTGTCCTCCCGCTCGTCTTGCGACAACACCGTTTCTTTGCCACCCCCGCCGTGTTCGCCGTCCCATCTATTTCGCTAAAACTCCGCGCCATAATTCCCCAGAAAAAAACATCTAATCAAACTTCTATCCGTGGCCGTTTTTTCATTGCCCTCTGCAGTCATTACGTTCACACATCTATCATCTTGCTGGGGTTGTGCTGTGAAACCGCAGACACCGCGGAGTGAGGATCAAACAATCTGTGAGTCCTGGCCTCGTGCAAGCCATTTCAGGCGCCAGGCAACTACACCAGCCCATCGTCGCTATTGCTGTTCAGAGTCGATCAGCAAGATCGTTACCAGCTTCACTTTGTCTGGCACTCGAGTTCCCGCTGTTGATGCCACTGCTGGGGTTCGAGATGTCCTTGATGTCCCGGACCTGATAGGTTTGGTCTTTCGCAGCGACCATGGGGACAGGCAATTTGCGCTGGGCACCATCGCCAGCCTCCATAATTTCAGAAATCCTGAGCCCGCTGTGTTGAGCGGGTACGTACGGCTGCAGTCCATCGGCTGACGGTTCCACCGGCGCCAGTGCCGGGGGAGGCTGATGCGCCAGAGAAAGATGGTGCAGGGTTGGCAGTTGCACACCATTGTGAAAGTACTGGGGTCGTAAACGAGGCGAGTGAGATGGTGTGGCGAGTGGGGTGTGGTCAGGCGTGGGAGACGCAGATGCATGGGAGAAGGAGGGTGAAGGTGGCGCCGTGGATTGCGGAGAACCGGGGCGTGACTTCTTGTGCGGCCGATGATCATCTTCGTCGTGCGAATGCGATCTTGACATGGGCTGTGAGGTCGGATTTGAAGAGTAGTGATATGACGATAAAGATGGCATGCGTCCCGTGTTGTACGAGTGGTGGTACGTCGTATGTCTGGTGGGCAGCGACAGATGTGCGTTCGGGATTTGCGCATTGTTTTCACGTTCGACCTGTGACGCGGCTGTGGCTAATAGGTTGATGCCTGGTCCTGAGGCATAGCTGCTTCCTTGCGCCGGACTGAGATCACCACTGGTGTTGCGCGTGATGTATGACCCAGGAGTACTGTGATACGTGGACGCATAGCCATGTGGTGGAGAGACGTTGGGCGACGTCAGCTGTGAGCTCGGAGCAGATTGAGTAGCCTTCTGCACCGGAGGCGGCATTATAGGGTTCACGGGCGGCGGTAATTGATGCTGTTGCGGATGGTGCTGGGACGGAGGCTGCTGTTGCGGTTGCGGCGGTGGTTGCGTTTGCGGCTGCGACTGTTGGTGCATCACCGGCGGAGTTTGCATTCCATTGCGCAGCGGACTCTGCTGCAGATAGTTTGGCGTGTTGAATTGAGTAGGCTGCTGGTTCATTTGGTTCATCTGGTTCATTTGGTTCATCTGGCTCAGCTGGCTCATGTGACTGAGCTGCTGCATTTGGTTCATCTGATTGAGTTGCTGCAAGTGGTTGAGCTGCTGGAGTGTCGAGTTGTCGTACATGCCAGCCTGCATTGCGGCGGCGGCTGCTGTCGCTGCTGCCACATGCTGCTTATTGCCGCGTCTCGAGTTGGGATTGTTGTGGATACGCGAGTGCCGCGTGAGCTCGTCAGATCTGCTGAAGCGCTTCGTGCAGCCTGGGAATTGGCAAGCGTGCGGCTTCTCGCCCGTGTGCGTGCGGATATGTCGCGTCTGGTGCTCCAGACGGTGGAAGGCCTTGTCGCACAAGGGACACTTGTACGGTCGTGGCAGGTCGGGGCGATGTTCATCTTGACTCTGCATACTGGGCGCCACTGCGGGCATGGTCATGGTCGAGCCTGCCATGGACGTTGACGCTGGCGGCGTGGTGCTGGTACTGGTTGTGTTGTCGGTGACCGGTGCAACTGATGAGGACGCAGGCGATGTAGCGGTGTTGGGAGTTGCCGTCTCAGAGCGCGGATGTTGCTGAACCTGAGGGTGCTCCGGGTTCAGCAGCGAGCTAAGCATGTGAAGAGGAGAGCAGCCTCGCTTGGCTGGCGCGAGATGTTATACGGCTCCCGCACACACGGCAATGAGCGATGTCGTGCACCGCGGATCTCTGCGGAGGTGACGATTGGCAAAGGCCCGGATATAGTGTGGTTTTGAGCGAGAGACGGATGGTGGTGGTGGTAGTGGTGGAGACGGTGGTGGTGGTGGTAGTGGTGGTGGTGACGGTGAGGGTGACGGCGGTGGTGGTGCTCGAATGCAGCAGTGGACGGAGGCAGCGCGGGCTGGGGTAGTGAGAGGAATGACGAGAAGGCAGGAGGCGTGCGCGAAGGGAGACCGAAAAAGCGTCGGCGATGATGATGTGCCAGAAAAACGCAGTGTTGTGGGGGTGGGCGCAAGGATGGTTCGACAGAACTCCGGCCTAGCATACGGATCGTGGTCTCGGACGATAGGGAAACGAGGCCAAAAAAGCCACTGCTGCAGGTCCGCCGTGGCCGATGTGGATATGCTTGGGAAATACCAAGGCGACCAGCCGTGCTGTGTCTCCCCGCGGGAATCCCCAGATTGGTCCCCTTCTAAGGTTCTTTGTCCGCTCTCTCCGGCCAGGCCTTGTTGGCAGAGCGGGATCTTGGCGAGGCGGCGCCGGCAACAGGAGGCAGCAGAGTCAAGACACTCTCGCTCGAGACCGGTTTGAGGCGAGCAGCGGCCGCGAATGGGGACAGCTGTGCACTGTGCACTGTGTCGCAGCAATTTGTTGGCACTTTGTTGACCAATATCCCTTGCGCGCGCGCGGGCGTGCGCGCGCCTCTGCCCGTAAGGCTGAGAGACAGGCCGAGATACACCGAATGATATTATCGAGTGGGTCTCTAATCCGCCAGACTACTACTACTGTCATTCCGAGTGACGAAAGAGAAGAAAAAAAAGTTGAAAGGATGAAAGGCGCCTCTCCGGCGGCCTGCAGAGTTTTTCGTTCTCTTCATCTCATCATCACGACGTTCCCAACTTTTACAGCAGCAGCACACAGCTGCCACAGCTGCGACAGCAATGACGAGGCTGTCGCACCCCCCAAGTCCCCATCATCCCAATTTGCCAAGTGACAAGACGGACCGTGGGCGCACTCCGCAAACGGTCGCAACCTGGTGAATTATTACCTACCTCCTAGTCCATTGGAGATTTGCTGAGGACTCTCAGATCACTGATGAGGCGAAGTCAGCGGTCAAGTCTGATCCCCCAAGGCGTGCGGTGTGCGCTTGTGGCCCCGACAGGGATTCACGATAAGCAGAAGTTGAAAGGCAGCATGTGCAAGTGCCTGGTCTGGTGCATGTGAGCTGACGCCAGGAACGCCTCCACGGGATGGCGTGGCAGGGTATGGTCTGGGGACATCTTCCAGTGGTCGTCGCCCACACAATCACATACATACTACTGCGTCCGGGGAGCTCATCCGAAGCCGTCAGACAGGGCTTGCCCGTCACAGGAGTGCAGAACGTGCGATCCTTCAATTATTGCTCGATAGCTTACGGTTGGTTGATACAGCGGTCCTCGACGCATGCATGCACTGCCGTGCAGCAGCAGGAGCAGCATGAGCATGTTGTTACAAGTTCCAGCACCCTGTAGGATTGATTTGTACCCAACTGCTTATTTGCGTTTACAGAAATGGCATTTCACAATACGATGTCATACGGGGCCTATCTGCTCTTCAGCTGCGCGGGAGATACGAAGCCAGAGATGCACGGGCACGAGCTTGCATGCTTGCTATCATATTCACGGCAGTTCTTTCTCCAGAAAATACGTACATATATTGGCTTCTGCAATGCGGTATACCGACCCAGGCCTCTGGGGCCGGATTCTCGAGCTACCTATCTTATGCTGTGATGCACCTGCAGGTCATGCTGGCATGATCATCATCAATCATCATCATCATTGTAGGCGATCATTTCGAATGTTATTTCTGTGATCATGAGGCTGAGGTTGTATCGAACACGCGCCGGCTAAATGAATACGGAAAAATACACTATCATGTGTATACCTTACCTCGTCACTCGAATCAGGGGTAGTCCAGTACACTACTAGTCTACCACGTCCTACCCCATCGTGAAGGAGCCCTCATCTTTTCTAGAGGAGGCGGTGACACAGCAGTGGCACATTTTTTCATTGTTTGGCCGAGCGGATCGCTGTGGGTGTGGAGAATGGAGGAGTGGTTGCAATACCTCCTAGTTGCTGGAGAAGCTGAGACCTCTGTGGTCACCGGTGCCAGACTCTACTCTGGCGGTCGCTTGTGATAGGAGGTACACACACACACACACACAGATGCTCTCTAGGTACCTATTCAGTCTACCGGAGTACTAAACTGGGATGAGTGGGTAAAACGTCTATGACCACAGTCACGCGATTGCTCCTCCTCCTACCCACCTCCTACCGAATGAAGTGATGGAAGACACAGCTACGCCTGGAACTCGGAGATGATCCGCGTAGATGCCTCCTGAACTGCCGAGGACGCGTCGCACCGCAGATTCATATTGCCGCACAGTCGCCGCATCAGCGGCGACGCGAACAACAAGAGTCATTGTCATGGATGAGCGGACAATACGAAAGGGTCGGAACGAGAAATTTTGATTGAGTGAGCATGATTTTTTGTCGGAATTGAATACTGCCCGTAGGCAATCAGATTATGGCAAAGCACGAAAATATGTCGGAAGCTCGTTGAACCCCACCAAGTGGAGCGTCCGCTTGACTTTTCCCCGTCTCCCGTCTCTCCCGCTGGTGAAGTGGATGAAGGTGGAGTCTCTCACAGTGCGAAGCTTTCAGAAAGTTAATTGGAAGCTTCAAGCATTCCATGCTCCTTGCACAGCCTTGCCTCCTTCCGCTCACAGCTGCCGGTCTAAACGACAAGACTCTCGGTTGTTTTTTTTTGGTGTTTTTTCCATTTTAGGGCGGTACTGCTTCTGGCTCTCGTTACGAGTACCCCATTGAGAAAGAAAGGGAGAGAGTAGGAGAGAGAGTGAGTGATCCAGACTGTACTCTCCTCCTCACCCGAGAGGAAGAGAGAGAGAGAGAGACAATACGGCACGATGTGGTTCCATATCTGAAGTTTATGCACACCAAACCCAAAAAAACCCTTCTTCCCTCTCTCCAGGTCTCTCCCGTCGCCAGGGCTCTCTCCATCACGCCACGTGTTCCCTCCTCGCCGGGAGATTCGATTGTGAATTTTGTGGAGGAGGAGGCAGGATTGCAGGAGGGGACCGATCCGACGAGGACCACCCCTCAATTTTCCAAAAAGCACGCGATAAGAAAAAAAAAAATGCTTGATCTTATCCGTCCACCTGTGGCTGTCTGTGGGCCAAACATGTCGAACTTTCACTCTCCCTTCCCATCCACTGCCACCCCCCTTGGTGACCTGGTATACCTGTATATGTATGATTTTTGAGTTCAGCATGTGAATACGCATACACGCCACGTCTTGTCACAAGCAAAAGACCACTATAAATGGAACACATGTTGTGTTTTGGGGCTGGCTTGAGTCAAGGGAAGGGGGAGGGGGGAACGTGTTGGATAGTCCCCAACGCGCGAAGAGGCATGCAGAGTCGAAACATGTATGAAGTGCGTTAACGAGTGTCATCAGTGTCGCAGAAGAAGAAAAAGAAAAAGAGGTGCAGCCGATGATGGTTCAGTTTGATCGTCGTCATCATTAACATCATCATCAATCATCTCTCTCCATCTCTAAACAAAACTATGTACACCTGCAAGCCCACCTACCCACGGCTGATGCCTAATAGCGATGCACTCACTCACTCTTTCCCTTCGGCAAAGCCACCCGATCGATGATGGATAGATATCTCACTCCTCGGCTAACAACCCAAAAAGTCAAAGAAAAAAGTCAAGATCATCTCTCTCTCGAAATTCAATTCCCTCTTGTCCCAATCTTCCACTCTTTTAATCTCTCACTAAAAACTCTCTTGAAAGCCACCAACCTTCTTCTACCTCCATTTGCGGAGGCGAAGTGCGGAGAAAGACGGGACGGAATGGAGAGAGAGTTTCAGAGTATGGGGTAGTAACTAACACTTGTAGTCTTGTAGTCTTGTACTAAAAGGTAACTACCAACTACCGTAGCCATATCTTGAATCTTTCCCTCGGGCAGTTTTTAGTTCCTAGTTCCTGTGATTTACCTCGGTTAGAAATATACCGGGGACGGAATCATTTTTGCCGGATTTGTTTACCTATTACCTCAGGTATGTAGATTGATTGATTGATTGACTGATTGATTCAGAATACATCCAACGTACATATACCTACCTTACCTACGTACCTACCTACCTACTACACTTTGTATAGAATCTACATCTAGCCTAGATCTAGGTAAGATACTCGTAGTCGAAGGAGAAGGGAGAAATTAGGTACCTTGGATACACCGATCAATGGGGCGACAGAGAGAGAGAGAGAGAGAGAGAGAGAGAGAGATGCTATTTCCGAAGCGCATAATACGCTCCCCCAAGAATTAAACCACGCCCATGCATTTTTCGTCATGCCCTTTCGCACGCCCCATCATACACTACGAGTGAACGAATACTAATCTTCCATCTCGACATCTCCGTTCTGCTGCGTGGCCTCCGTGCCGCCTGTCTCCAGCTCGCCATTCTCCACCAATCTGGTAAACTCAGAGTTCTTATTCTCCACGCTCTCCTTGCTGAGATCTCTCATGCCACCATTGTTCAACTCGTATCGGTCCTTGACGACTTCCTCCCTAAGGTGCCTCGTCTGTTGTCCCAGCTTCACACCTTCCTCCCCGCCTTGACGTCGGCGAAGGTCGGCATGAAAGCTTTCATACGTGTTTGCTGTGAAGAAAGTCTTGTAACTGTTGACTGCAACTCGCAGTCCCAATCGCTCTTCATTCTTCACGTCCAGGAAGCGTGCCTGGAATGCGTTCAATTCGTCATTCATGGTAGCCGAGAACGATTCGGCCATTGGATCTGCTCCCGACGTCTTCATATTACTAACGAGGAATGGCATGTCCATAGCACTGTGATCGACATCGATCGTGGGGTCTATCGAGGTATAGGACGCGATGTAGTAGCGCCACTTCTGCTCACGGTCCAGAGCTGAAAGACCATCATCAGCAATAGAATCTTCGCGCTTGGATACGAAGAACGCCAACTGCGACGTCTTTTGGTCCTGCTCGGCGGTCAGTATCAGTTGGTCGCTTGTTGTGACTGCGACTTACGAAGTCAATGCGGTACAGGTCATTGTCCTTGATCAACTTTTCAAACGCCTTGCGATAGTCGTTCTGCTGTTGTGCCGTGCTGTGCTCCTTGAGCCTGTCCTTTCTGTAGAGGGCGAATATCTCGGCAGATTTGTCTTTACTATCACCGTTCATAACGAGTGTGGCATCCTTGGCCAAGGTGGCCACAAGCTTCTCGAACGGATAGAGAGGGTATCCTGATTGTAAATAGAACCGGCGGAGAGCTTCCTCGACCTCCGCGAACTCGATGGTGCCGTTGAGCACATCCTCAAACTTCACTACCATTTGGCTATAGTAAGAAGCATTGTCGGAGATGTCGGAGAAGAAGTCACTTGGCATCTTGTCAATGAGACCGAGTTCAGCGGCCGGTCGTGCGGTGCCGGCGTCCTTTACGTTTTTCCGAACTGACGACTCCGCGCACTTGAGCTTGTACAAGCGCTCGTACAGCATGACGAACAGTCTGATGAAGCAGTACAAAGTGCCGTTAGCCCAGCATCGATACAGGCTTCGCAGCTGTGGCTGGAGTGGATTGACGTTCTTGCCATCCGCGGACAGATTGCCCTCGAGAGGGTGCTCCAGCCAACGGGTGGTACTGGCCTCTTTGATTTCTGGCGTCTCTGTGCTATCGATGGCCATTTCGTCGGGGTCAGCATTGGAACCAGCGTCTGGCGTTGAAGCACGGCTGTTTGATGCCTGACTGCCTTCCCGGTCTTGTCCTGTGAGCTTCCGCCCGCGGCTACCAGGATCCAACGCTGCACGCAGAAGGCCACCGTTCTTACCGTTGCCCTTTCGTGAGCCAACAGATGCCGCATCGTCTCCAGCAGAAGGCAGGTCATCGTCGAGCTCGTCGCTCCTCCTGTTCTGCAAGAGTGCTTGAAATCTAGTCGAGTCGATGCCGAAGAACAGTGGCACAAAGTCCTCGATGAATTTCGCCAACCTTGGGTGGTCAGTGTCCATCGAGGTGCGAACGTGTGTGAGCACAAGATGCGTGGCGTCCGCAAGTACGTCCTCGTCATCGACAGTGTATTCCAGCTGAGGCTTGCGCAACAGTATCGGGTCGGAAAAGCCTGCGCGTCTCATCTCCTCATATCGCACCATGATCTCGCTTTGTAGTGTTTTCGACTGGAATGCACGACGGTCCACGTTCTTCGCCTGTACAGCTTGATGGTCCAACGACTTCCAGAACATCTTTTGTGTTTGCTCGCGCCAGACCTTTTCCCACTCGCGTTGACCCATCTTCCAGGTCTCGAGGCGCTCCTTGACCCGGTTCAGCAGAATAGGAATGACCTGGTACGGGCGGTCCCTGAGATTCTCAATAACCTCAATGCCTTTCTCGCGACCATACAGTTTATAGATGACGCGCTTGTAGATAGTGTTACTTTGACCTCCAAGCCCCTCTGGTAACTGGTATGCTCTTTGCTCGGCGTCTGATCGTCTCCTGAGTTGTGTGGCAATGGGCTCGAGAAGTTGAATCGTGCGCGATGCAGCCTCGATGTTGAAGTCGTAGTCGTGTCGCTCTTCTTCTATCCTGTGGAGACCCTCTTCGTGAACGTTTTTGCGGTGTGCGATGAATCCACTGTCCTCAGATGCCCATGTTGGATGCGAAGCCCACTCGTCATTCAGCACGGCGTTGCAGAGCTCGTCGCGGCCGCTGCATAGCTTCTGGCGTTCTCTTTTCGGTAGCAGACGGTAGCTCGGTCCCAGGCCCCGACAGTTGCTCAGCATCACTCTGCCAGGCGCGACTCGAGGTTTGTTTTCGATGATCTGATCGCGCTCGTCGTGCCCAATCCAGTTCTTAAACCAATTCAGCAGGTCTTGATTGCCGCCAATAAAGGACTCTACCCGATAAAGGAGCATTCTGCGATCAATCAGATCCTGGGTAAAGAGATTGCAAAGCTTGAGGAACTCGTTGTAGACATTCTTGTTGCCAATTGCCTTCTTCGCTTTGTCAAAGAACGCCATCTCATCGCTAGTGGCCACAGAGGTAGTCGTGGGGGGAAGAGGGGCGGGCAGCGAAGGAATGAGGGTCGGGGACGTAGGAGGCTGTTCGTTTTTCGCAACAACATTGTTCGTCTTCGAACGCTTTCCGGGAGGCCCAGCCATGTATTGTGGTTTAATCGGCCCTGCCTGTCCAGGCACGTTATCCGGCGGACCAGTGCCCTGTCGCTTGCGCTTGTTGTCCTTCGAGGCTGGAGTAGGTGCAAAATTACCGACCGGTGGCAAGCCACGAGTGTGAGCAGGTGTGCCCATCTCGCGCGAGATGACAGGGCTGTTGTACATCCCATCGCCAGCAGTACTACGCATGTCCGACAATTGCGCGGCCTCTGCGTGCGCTCGAGCTCGTTCTGCGGCTTTGGCTTGAGCTGCAGACTCGGGCAGGAATTGCTTGAAGTCTTCAAGGAGGTCCTTAGCCCCCTTGAAGAGATGAGTAACCTGGCTGTATACGTCTTGAATCGGCTTCGATTCACGTTGATAAGTCTGCAGAATCTCCAAGAACTGCTTGTAAATGTCGGGCTGCGAGCTGAATCGGTTCTGTAAAGAAGTCAGTAAGTCGAGCGGGAGTGAAGTTGCGACGCCCGTGTCATTGTACCAAGCAACCGCAGCCACCAGAACGTACCTTGATCTTGTTCACATAACTAATCGCATGATTAAACTCAACCGGCCCACGTTTCTCCATTCCAGATGCATCGACGGCGATTGCCTCGGCGCTCTGCATCGGTAGAGGTGTAGCACGAGGCGAGATACCAGCAGGAAGTCCGGCGAGTGCACCTGCTGCAGTCACGCTTGCCGCATTTCCCAAAGACTGCATACCGCGCTGATCTCTGGTGTGTGCAGTGACAAGGTCTTCGTGAGCTTGTCTCCGCGCGGCAGTCTCCGCTGGCGACAGGTTCTGGTGGCCAGGTGCAACCGGACCTACTGGCCTGCCACTTGGAGAAAATGCCATCTGTGCAGTGCCGGGCTGAGGTGTGAAAGATCCTCCATCTCCGGGTCTATGGCCATCCGTCACCCCATTCCTGCTGGGTGCTCGTGGCATAGCTTGCACAGTCGTGCCCATCGGAGTTGTGACACGAATAGAGTTCGGGTCATTGTCAGCTCCACATTCGATTCTGTACCCAGGTGGCAGAAAGGTATTGAAGCCTTGAATGAGCTCGGGGTTGCCCGCAAAGAGGGTGCTCACTCTACCAATCACGCCAGGTGTATCGATTGCGCCGCTCTTAAAATCCTTCATAATATCGAGGAAGCGATTGTACACGTCTGGGTGGTCTGCAAATTGCACCTTGACTTGGTCCAGATAGCTCAATGCGTCGTTCAGAATCGGCTGCTGGCCCTGGCCCTGCTGTCCTTGCGCCATCTGCTGTTGTGGTTGCGGTGCTTGCGCGCCGGGACCATATGGAGCCAGAAGGCCTGGAGGCATCTGCTGAGGAGGTGGAGGCTGGCTTTGCTGCACGGGACCTCCACCAAACACATTTGGTGGTCCTTGAGGGGCACCGAGTTGGGGATGCTGCTGCTGCTGCGTCGCGTGGCCTACGATATTTGGGTTGCCTAGCAAACCATTGGGGCCATGAATCGTGCGAGGAGGAAGGGCGACTGGCTGATGCAGATGAGGTGGAGGACCTTGTTGAGACTGATGCAACGGGGCCTGCTCCATACGCTGTCGTTCTATCTCGCGATGCCTGCGGTCCTCTTCCTCTTTGATCTGGATATGCTCAGCTTCCCGCGCTCTTTCCCGATCGCGCTGTTCTGCCACGCTGGGCTGGCCAGTCACTTGACCGAGGCCTGGGAGCGCAAAGCCCGGACCCTGGGGTGGCTGTGGTGGACGCTCGTCGGATCGATGCGCCTGCGTAGGTGGTTGTCTCGGCGATTGCTGGCTGAGACCAGCAAGACTGGCGAGCGAATGTGGTGCAGAGTGGAAACTGGCGAAAGGGCCTCCAGGCGGCGGCAGGGCACTGGGCGCGTGAGGCGGAGATTGCTGTGGGTTATGCTGCGGCGTGCCGGGTCTGCGAAACACAGCGATGTCAGTGTCATATCGCAGCAAGTGTGAGGTAGTAAAGAGAAGATTGAAGGGCGAACTGAGGTGTTGGCTGGTTCGCTCTTCTCTGTTCACGCAGCTGGCCAAGCCATGGCGGAGCGCATAGCGCACGATGGCATAGCAGGTATGGGCATAGCTTACCCAAAAGGCGGGCCAGGTCGCGGAGGCTGCGAATGGCCCTGATGCTGGTTGTTGTCGTTCGCATGTCCATTCCCGCCTGGCTGGTGCGGCGGCGGCCAGCTGCGGTGAGGGCCTGGATCCATCTCGTGTACAGTAACGCGCTCTCCGTTCTAGCGGTGTTCAGAGCGTGTCTCGGGTATGCGCATCTGGGCGACAGGAGTAGGTATACGGTGTCTTTGTAGCTGTACGAAGCTGGAATTGCAGCTCGCGCGTGTATAGAGGTTTGCGCGCGGGTTTTCTCTGGTGTCGCGAGGCGCTTCAGATGGCTGCCAAATGAGAGGCGCTGAAATCAGACAGGTATGAGAGGATATGGTCGATGAACAGATTGCAGTCGGTCGACTACATCTGCATCGGATGTGAATTAGGAGGTCAGAATAGGTCGCGCGCAGCTTCAGCATGACGGAGCGACAACTTGGTTTCACGGGCTTCTGTGCCGATCTCGCTGCTTTTCGGCTTCCTCCACCTCACCATGGATGGGCACGCTTGATTTTCTTGGCCTTCCGTCCCGACCATACCTTACTTAACGGTTCCCATTATATTCACTACACCTCGTCGCTGAGAAAAATGTCCGCCAATGATGCGGGCTTCATAGCTGCCTTGGAAGAAGCCAAAAAAAGTTTCGCAGAAGGTGGCGTACCCATTGGAGCATGTCTCGTCGCCGCAGATGGCAAAATTCTGGGTAGAGGACATAACATGAGAGTGCAGAAAAGCAGTGCAATTCTGCATGTACGTTGATCGATAAGATATATCTATATTCGGTCTCATGTTTCCTGTCTGACATTCTTCCAGGGCGAAACCTCTGCGCTCGAAAATGCTGGCAGACTCCCCGCCTCTGCGTATAGAGGTTCAACAATGTACACTACCTTGAGCCCCTGTGATATGTGCACCGGAGCCTGTATTCTCTACAAAGTCTCGCGTGTGGTCATGGGCGAGAACAATACCTTTGTTGGAGGTGAAGAGCACCTCAAACGCAAGGGCATTGAAGTCATCAATCTCAAGAATGCAGAGGCAGAGCAACTGATGAAGGACTTTATCAAGGCGCATCCTGAAGACTGGTGGGTGATTATGCGAGGCTGATGTAGTCCCGATGATGAGCGCTTGATGGCTGACAGGATGATGTAGGTATGAAGATATTGGTGAGGACAAGTAGGTCTGTACATGTTCGAATTGCAGCCTGGAGACCGACGGACAAGCGTTGTGTCGTGCGTCTTCTGCTCACAAAGTCGTGCATGCCGATCGTACATGCGATCTCTGAATCCCTTCTCATCACATTGTTGCAAGCCATCTGAAAGAGTACCTTGCTACTATACTTGTGTCAGCATCCTGACTTCCATGACGGCTGCATATGCCCATCGGCATCTGTAGGCTGCTTGTTCAGAGGCCCGGCAGTTTGATGCTGCTGCTACCAGTCGGCGTGCAAGATGTTTCGTTCATGCATCTTCTGTTCTGCTGCCTTGATGTCGGCAACCTTCGGCATCTTTTCATCCTGGTGTTGACCTATAACATTGTAGTTGGCATGCGCATTTCACCATGAGCACTCGTGGCAAGTCATGATGAGCTACCTGATAATCTGTGGATCTCCTGGAAATAGAACTTGAGGTCGTCTGGGTTGACCCAAGGGGTAATGCCTAAAAAACTTCAGTAACTTGAATTTCACGGTTGCATACCAATCGCACATACCGTGGCCAAGATTGGCGATCCAGCCTTGCTTTCCACCTCCAAAGCCGGACACCATCTCTTCAACAACTTTCGTGATGGCCTCGTGTCCACCATACAGCACACCAGGATCTGCGTTGCCCTGCACCACCTTTCCATGCTTCTGCGCAATGGCATACGCCTCTTTGGGATCGTGCAACCAATCCAGTCCCACCACATTGTACTTGGTCTGGCAGAGCCGGTCGAGTGCATACCAGGCTCCTTTGGCAAACACAACCATCGGCACGACTTCCTCACCAAGCTCCTGTACTCTCTTAGGCAGATGATCGGCAATCCACTCCAGATAAGGCAGCGAAAACTCCTTGAACGTCGCGGGACTCAATTCTCCAGCCCAGGAATCAAACACCTGTACGATCTGCGCACCAGCCACGACCTGGTGCGCCAGATACTCCACACAGAGTTCCGCAATCTTCTGCAGCAACTGCTTGGCGGCTTCACGGTATTTGTAGATCCAAGTCTTGGTCTGTCTGAACACCTTTGTACCACCACCTTCGACCATGTAGCACAGTAACGTGAAAGGCGCTCCACAGAATCCATACAAGGGAACTCGTCCGTCCAGCTTCTTCCTCGTCAAAGTGATAGCATCGTAGACGTATCCCAGCTCTTTCACCACATCCACTTCTCGCTCCATGACCTCCTTGAACTGCTCATCGTCCGGGCTCTGCAGAGGGCTAGGAAAGTGAGGTCCTTTCTCAGGAAGCATAATGACTTCCATGCCCATTGCTTGCGGTATCACCAGGATATCTGAGAAAATGATGGCGCCATCTATGAGTCCTTCAAAACGGTCAATGGGCTGCAAGGTCAAATTCGAGGCGATTTCGGGGCTTCGGCAACATTCGAAAAAGTCATTTGTGCCCTTTTCGCGGTGGTATTCGGGCAGGTAGCGACCTGCTTGACGCATGACCCATATCGGAGGGCGCTCGACCTTTTCACCACGCGCGGCGCGGAGCAGAAGGTCGTTCTTCAACGGGGCGAATCCGTGTTTCGACATTGCTGCGGGGTAGTCTTGCGAGAATGGGGAGATGGAGGATGGACAGAGAAGTAGAGTGCGAGTACAAGTTGCAGATGAGAACAGGTCTTCGAAGCAGATCGGGGACGGTAGAGCAGGTAAGAGCCAAGTCAGCCCTGGTGCGGTCGTTTGTCCCTGTGGATGCGCCGAGGTGTGACGAGGCGTGGCGGGCGAGGTGAGGTTCGAGTGGGAGGGGAGAACAGCGGCATCGAAAATGAGCTGGCTGTGATCCAATACCTTCTTTACGTGTGTCTAGATCACTACCATCCCGCCAGAGAAGAGACACATCGTTGCTTACAATTTCTTCTGTATCACTAGAGAACTGACCTTTCTTGCAGTTTACTGACTGTGTTGGCGAAGGCTGCTATACGCGTCTACTACTGGCGGGCTCCTCACGCCCGCTGGGGGCGACCGCTAATCATTCCGGGCATCGCTGTCCTACTCGTCTACTGGTGAGAGCCGCGGATGGTGATTGAATTTACATGTACCTACGATCACTGCCCACGATATTACATGTATACAGCTGTGCGATACATACATCGATGATGCTTGTTGTAACTGCACATGGAGCGCCTCCGATGTCGGCGTCGAGCTTCAACCATACATATTGCTGCCAACATCAATCACGTAAACTGCCACATACAGTACACAACATTGAGCATAGATTGCTATCTTGAAATACTCCTCAGTACTCCATTAAAGCCTTTCTAGCGACCTCCAATAAGTATAAGGCACTCGAGATGTCCAACGCTGAACGTAAAGATCACTGGTCATCGGAAGCATACAATTCAGCAGCCGGCTTCGTACCAAAGCTCACCACCACAGTCTTCTCGTATCTCAATCCCCAAAAAACCGACAATGTACTAGACATAGGCTGTGGGGACGGCGAATTAACAGCTAAGATCGCCGACGCAACAACCGAAGGCCAAGTCCTGGGCGTCGATGCCTCACCATCCTTCATCAGAACCGCAAACGAACGCTATCTGAAAGACGGGTTTGGTAACGTGACTTTCGCTCTCCACGATGCCACGAAGCTGGAGACTTGTCGAGAAGTCGGAAGTGGAATTTGGGACAAAGCTTTCTCCAATGCGGCCATGCATTGGATCTTACGAAAACCCGAGGTCCGGAAAGGATTCTTTGCGAATGTGTTCAAGGCATTGAAGCCTGGTGGGTCGTTTGTGTTCGAAATGGGAGGCGCGGGAAATGTAGCCGAGATTCATACTGCAGCTACTGCAGCTCTGGTACATCAAGGAGGCATTTCTCTACAAGAGGCGCGAAATGCGAGTCCTTGGTATTTTCCATCTGTGGACGACATGACCAAGCTCTTGCAAGGCGCTGGGTTTGAGGTTGAGAAATGCGAGATTGAATATCGTCCTTCGAAGCTGACCCCGAAGCAAGCCGATGGGAGTGGGGGGCTGGAGGGCTGGGTGAAATTGATGTGTGCTGAGTTTCTGGAAGCTGTGCCGGAGGAGAAATGGGCGGTGGTCCTCAAGGAGATTCACGACCTGGCTGAAAGTGTTATTACGAGGGAGGATGGGAGTCAGTGGTTGGGCTATGTGAGGTTGAGGGCCATTGCCAAGAAGAGTAACAATGTCGATTAAAATACCTCTTCTAGATCAAGTACATGTAGTGCGCTCGTCATCTGTTTCCACGTAGACAGTTTTGGAACTCGTCGTGCAGCATGTTCGCATGACCATAAATTCTTGGCTGCTTAGTCATATGACTCGGTTCCACGCCAAGAATAGCACGTCTGCCGTCTTCACCATCAATGAACAATTGATCACAGGCTTCGAATGCGACAGGAACTTCAGGAAATAACATAGGGGGCGGGGACGCACTTACGGGGGAAGGGAAGAGGAAAGCCTAAGGTAGAAGAAGAAGATGACCGATGTCTTGGAAGGCTGCCCGCTGCCAAAGGAGGTAGCGGAGGCACTTCAGCCTTACATCAAAACCCGGCAAGAAGTCGAGCATGTCCGACGAGGACTGCAGGCGAGCTTTCCTGTCTCAACATTGGACACGGCTCGAAAGTCCTACTCTGAAACACCCGAGCCCGGTGGTCTCACTGGCGTCCGAAAGGCATATCTGCAAGCTTTACAAGCACATCGGGTCGCTCAGGAGAGGTACGATGCCCTCAAAACTGAACTCGAGCAGCTATCGCGGCGCGAGCCCACACCTGGAGGAGCGCAAGGCAACACAACAGCTTTCCTGACCGAAAGCTATGTACCACTCATTCGGCAACGAGAGAGGCGACGCAAGCTCGCCATAGTAGAAAAAACCTTGGCCAAGATTACCGCCGCCGGCGGCGACGCCGTCGTAGAATCATTCGACAAGGTAGCGAAGCGTGAAGTGGGAGAACTGCCTCACCCACCTTCCACATCAGGATATGCAGACCGCGAACTCGAATCAGATTATGATTTGACACGTTTAAAGAAAGCAATTCTGTCCACAAAGCGCGAACTCGAGGAGCACGAGGAACTTTCGGCACAAGCAAATGGCATCGCCGAGGGTGATATCAACCCACATGCCGATCTTAAAGCACTCCAGAAGACGCACAGTGAGCTCACAGCATGGATGGAGAACCAACTCGCCATGATCAGCGACGTCGACAGTACCAAAGACGGCAGTAGCAGCACCTATTCTGCCGCCGACAACTCTGCCGGCGAAGAGGCCGCGTTTTCCCTGAGTGACATCGAAAATCTCTACAAGCAGTATCTCGACTCGCGCCAACGACTCTTGCGAGTCGTATCCCACCAAGAGAGACAAGACTCAAGCCCCTCATCCTCACCAGACACAGCGCGCCGCCGTTCCACAAGTCCAACAACACCAACAACAACAACAACCACAACCCTCGACTCCGACCCCTCTCTCCCCGCCCCATCCGAACTCATCCTCCCCTACCTCTCCCGCCTAACTTCGACCAAACAAACCTCGCAATCCCTCTCCCAACAAACCACACACCTACGCCGACAACTCACCCTCGCGGAAACTCAAACCCAAGATATCCTGACCCGCTTAGCCGACGAAAGCCACTTGGTCCAACCCGAGCACCACCACCACCGCCGGAGAGGAGGAGGAGGTGCGCCTCAAGGCCAAGACTGGCGAGAAGCAGCCGAAGAAGCGCGCGAAGCGACCGTGAATATTGTCAAGAAACGGGTCGAGAGTGGGAATGCCTTTGCCGAGCAGGCGGTGCAGACTTTGGAGAGTATTCATGGATTGCCGGGGTGTGTTGATGGGATTTCTTTGGCAGGGGGGAAGTGAGGGAGTGAGTGTGTGAGTGAGAGAGGAGGGGGGGATGCGCGATGTAAAAATTTAAAATTCTTCTCTTTTTCTTCTTCTTCAGAAGAAGACGAAGACTTTGTTGAATCAGGCCGTACCTGTTGTATACATACTGTTGTTTTTTCACGTTTACTTGATTGAAAGGGATAACCATACCATGGTGGAGGAGGAGGAAGAGGTTGAAGACGATGGTGATGAATAAGAAGAAGCTAGCAACGATGTTATACTTGTCTGCTTCTCTGTTGCTAGGTAATCATCAAGTCCTTCTCTTTCCTTAGTCTCCTTTCCGCCCATTCTGTCCTCCTACTTGCGTGGTCGTCTTCGGAGGAGCACGGTATCCGAGGTAATGCAGAGTCTTCCGTTCCCCTGGACGCATACATGTACCACCTCAGTGGAGCTGTCTTTCCCCCGCTCTCAAGGAACAACAGGACTATCCGTAATATGCAGATAAAGACACCACTCTCCCCTTCCATTTCCCAAGTATCGCTTACAGTCGAAGATATGGACTCGATCCACCATTCTCGACCCCAACGTCTCCTTGTGCTGAATCAACAACCACGCCAAACCAGCTCCATTCGGACAACCCAGTGCAGCCAGGGCTTGGGGTGCTTCGATTCCAAAGCTCATGCCCGGCCATTCTCCCACCGCTTCGGCAGTCGGCTGCCGCGTCACCATTTGGAGAATCTCCTCTGTTTCGCAATTGGTGATGTTATGCCGAAACACATGTTCGAGGTTTTTGACGGAAATTCCCAGGTTGCGTTCGAGTATGGCTTGTTCGCGATGCAGGAAACATACATCACTCCAGTGTCGAAGAGGGACGATATCCTCTGGTGCGATCGGTAGCTCTTCCCTCTCGATAATTGATTCGGGACTCCAGTTTTCAAGCGCAACGAGGACGCCATCTTGCAGGTTGAAGAGAGTCTCGTATGAAGCCCATGTGGGAGGGTAGTAGGAGGTTTCTGTTGTGTGGGCAATGATGCCGCGAGTCCATGGCTCTGGAGTTTCTGTGATTTGAAGGTCGACAAATGCTTTTTTCAGTCCGTAGTCGTCGATGTTGGGAACAGCTTTGCTGCCCGTGGACGTCCAACCATAGCCCTGGAGCACTCTTTCCGCACTTTTGTCCGCATGAGGCTTGAAATCTGGCTCTGTCGGAGGGTCTTCGACATTGCTCTGCATCTTGCAGAGCAGCTGGAAGCCTCTCTTCGCAGCTCTCAGCCTCTGTTTGTCCTCTGCTGAATCTGGAAGGAGGGCGATCTCGTCGTCTGACAGCTGCATTGCCATGCCCACGAAAGGCACCCAACCACTTGCGGTGGTGGCATTGTGGCCATTGCCTCGCCCGTGAGAGGGTGGATCATTGTGCGCCTGGAGATCGGTCGTACTGAGAGTGCGCATGGCCATTTCGCTTGTATGCTGTGTAAGTCCAGCCATCAGAACCGCACATGACGGCAGGAATAGGATCGTGAACGTCGCGGAAAATGGCAGTCGTGCACGCTTCAATGTTGTCCATTATGGTCCCTATGGCGACGAAAGCCATGGATGTCGTCAGCTGCAGTCTGCTTGATGTGGTGGTCTCGACGGGAAGTTCTTCTGGAAAATGAGCAGCATCTACGAGATGATCGAGAGAAGGTGCCAAAGCGCGGCCGAGAGGAAGGAGGTGTAGACGGAAGGAGTAGTAAGCAAGACTTGTACCGATTTCACACCTCATATAAGCCCACCAGCAGCCTACCTGTACCTTACGATTTTCGCCATACTGTAGTCGTTGCAATCTCCTCTGTCCTCTGTCTCCGGGACAAAGCGACGGGTCGTACGCTTCTGTCCTCTCTCCTCTCCCATATCACGACAAAATCACCCTCCCCCTCGACCCAAAAGCCAAAGCCAACCAACCTCCCATCAAGCACAGTCCGCCGATGGGCGTCACCGGTCCCAAAAATTTCAAATCCTTATTCAAAACCAAAGCATAAATCGAGCCCGAGAATCCAATTATTCCCGCCGTAAAGAGTCCTTTGGCCCATACATTCTTTGGGGCGGCTTGTTCAGCGATCAGGAGCGCAACGGAGTGGATGAGCTGTTTGTTTGGGGGTTATCAAGGCATTGTTATTAGCGAATGAATCAGAATCTGTGTAGTATATCGTATTGAATGGATAGATGGATGGGATGTATATATGTAGTAGTAGTACTACTGCATGATATACTTGTATGTGTGAAGTTTGAGTGAGTAACTTGTCAGGAGTTATGTATACCCCTTACATACCTGATAATGAGCAGCAGTTTGCCAACTTGCAATCTTCTCTGGAGCAATTCCACGGCTTTTGAGACCTGTTGGCGGAAAGAAAAGACAAAAAGAAAGACAAGTCAGTCCTCTCCATTGGAATCGGCTGGTTTGTTCTTCGAGGTAGATAGTAGGTATGTCAGGTATGTACGTACCATGAGCCCCAAAAGCACCAAACGCCACCGAACTGGCTCCGGAGAGCGCTCCGACGATCCACCAGGGTGTAGACATTTTGTTTGTGCGGTGGTATTTGTTCTTGTTGTTGGGGATTCAGATGAGGAAAAGGTCCCGAATGTTGAATACCTGGTGTTGGATGTCTGAAGTCCAGTGGTCTATGAGATAGACGACTTAAAGGTCAGGTAACTAGGTTCGGTCAAGCAGAGCCAAGAATTTTCGGTAACTCTCGGATGGTCGAGCCCGAGATGCTGCTGTACAGTAGACAAGAGAACTAAGGTGTGAACTCGAGGAAGGTCAGAATATGATATTCGAATAGAAAGCGCATATAAGGTAATTCATAAAGTAGACACGTCAAGGACTACCTCGTCAAATAATCATATACTCATTTCATTCATCTCCATACATGTACTTCTTCTTCTGCTTTGTGCTGCCGTATTCTCTCATCATCATCATCATCATCGTAAAGTTCACCCCTTTTTTGCAGGAAATCAGGTAGAGCAGAATAATGTAGTGAACGTCTTTTTTCATCATATCATCCCACACATCCGCACGGCAAGGAAGTGCTGCTGCCCATGTGTGTGTGTGTGTGTGCCTCCCATATGCAACGCCTGTGCGGGTATCCTTTTTTCGTTACTGCTGCTTGAACGCTACAACTAACTCAACACAATTTGCGCCCTGCCTTCCTGATGATGCTGTGATTCTGTCTTGTCCGTCTTCGAATACATGGAATTCCATCTTCGAATCTCAAGTGGTATCCCCCGAGGCGCCCGCGCCCTTATTTTGCTTGCGTGCAGATTCATGCAATGTGCCTGTGGGTATACCACCAAGCGCCGTAGAAGAAAGGGGCTTCGCATTGCCTTTCCCTTTCAGGGGACTGCTGTGCCATAGCCGTTGGTGCGCACTGTAGGTAATCACTTCCGAACCTCACGCACGAAGAAGCAACGCACGGCTGCACGACTTGTGCTCTCTCTTCTTCTTGAGGAACATGGTCAGAAGTTGCAACTCCGACGTCTCGTAGGTCGCCCATGCTACTTGACGCCTTTCCGGCGCATCGGTAGTCGCAACTTGAACTGCTCACTCAACCCCCCTTGCACGCCAAAGCCCTTTCGTGCCGCACTTTGTAGCAGAAACATTCTTCTTGCCATGATTCTCTCGTCCAAATACAGCTCGAAGTCTAACAGGAAGCACATGGCAATCTCCAGATTCATGAGCTGCATGGTGCTGATGCCGCCCATCCTTGCCACTCGCTCTTGAGACCATTTGTTGTCCTCCAAGCTCTTTGCGGCTATCCTGATCGCCGCAAGACCGAGCCGGTGTATTGTGCGATTCGTGGCAGGTACGACCAGGTCGGACACGCACAGCTGGTGAATGTAGGCTGCGGCTCCCAGGTAGACTCCCGGGCTGTGCGGACAGTATTGATGGAAGCGCTTGAGGTACTGGCCCAGCGTGAAGGGCGGAGCGGTTTTGGAAAAGAAGCGCCTGGCGATAGCTTGATGCTGCACCGAAATGTCCTCCACTCCCGCTCCCACAACGACCATGATGGGCTCGTGAGGATGTGCTTCAGGACTGCCAATCTCGAGCTTAGGAATGTCCTGCGACGATGCAGTTCGTGGAATTGTGCTACTCGGTTTGCGCTGATGTCGCGGACGAGGGAACAGACCCGGCGTGGAAGGTCGCGAGACGGGCGGAGTAGGAGGAACATCGCCAGTGGTTTCGGAGAGTCCACCGAGGGCGTTGATAAGCATCTGAAGGGCTGCTACGGCCGAAATGCTGTTGATATCCCATGACTCGCTTTCCAGGTAAAGAGTCTTGTCGGACTTGGGTGAGGCTGTCGGGTTGAGAGGCGCGGCTGCTGCTTCATCATGTACATTGGGATCTGGTGGTGGAGGCGGCGAGCCTACTGGGCCAGCATCAACGACGACGAGTCCATATTCCATACCGTGCGTAGTGTGGGAGTGGGAGAAAGAGAAGTTGGTCGTTGGACAGCGGCCGAAGCGAGCTGTGAAGATCCTGTCAGGTGGAGTATGTCGATCTGGTCGAGATGGGCGGTCATGGGGGCATCAGAGAGATCACGATACAAAGTACTTGGGTGGTGATGGTGGTGGTGGTGTGGTCGAGGCTAGCTACAAGTACAAGTGGCTTACGTCCAGTCTCGAGTAGGGTACAGTGGTTGTTGTGGTGGTGGTGAATGTGTGCAACCCGGCACACTCGTAGAAGTTGGGGTCAGCATGTAATAAAGTACAAAGATATACGATCTGCCGTCGAGCTGTGTTGGCGGCATGGCATGCTTTAGGCCTTCAGCCAAAACCAGAAATCATGCAGTCGGCGGCGGAGTGGACGAGAGGTCCAGATCTGTGCCCTGCATCCTCGGAACATTTTTGTTCCCCTGAATTGGTCCAATCAACCGCCCCCGTTCGTTCGCTCCCAGTCTTTTCGTTTCGGCATATCACTCGCATCAACCACACCCGACGGGACATTTAACTTCTCTTGTTTCCCCTCCCTCGTATCTGCTTCCGCCGACATTATCTATCTAGGTACAGACACAGGGACATGCCCGATCCCACAACACCAGCGTAAGCATGTCTGTGGAGGACAGGACAGGATAGGACAGGACAGGACAGGACAGTGAAAGAGTATTGCTGGCCGCCCTCTCGAGTTGCAAGGCGGGCAACAGACTACCGAATGGAACTAATACCGTCATTGATGAGCATCTGAGACATATATGATGGGGGAAGGGAAGAGGGAGGGAGGGAAGATTGTCAGACTGCGGGGAAGAGCTTGGAGTGAAACTACTGCAAGTCATCTGCACTGCTCATTCGACCCGGTAGGCTGCTCCGGCTTCGAAGGTACATTGATGTTCATCTGCACAATCTGCGTAGGATGTTGCTTCAGAGAAAATGGTATGTGAAGGATAGAATGTACATGCATTCTCGGGGTATCTCATCATCATCATCGTCATCATCACAATTGTAGGATACATGTACTAAGCCTCCATCATCTCTCCAAGCCCTTTCCCCCAACTTCCCACCTTCACCTATACCTTTTCACTTTCGTCAATGACAACAGCACTCGCTCGTCGTCGATCCTCTGTGAACTTCTTGCGACCGAAGCTGCACAATTGAATCATCTCGCGCCAGAAGCCATTGGGAGGATCGACAAACGAAGCCTCGTATGCATCAATCGTAGGTCGTTGCCAGATGAGATCCGCTTCGCTAGCCTTGACAAATTTGGTCTTGTGAATGAGTTTCCACGAGATAAAAGTGATGGGTGCTATAAGCGTCATGAAATCGTTAGCAAAGCCTGTTTTGTGTCTTGTACCTAGGTACTCTCGATTACATGTTGTTTTTTCTTGGAGATTGGGACTTACCGAGAATCAACATGGCGTAATAGATGAAGAAGTTCTCCACATCGAATGGGTTCAGCGAGGTGTAGCCGTAGCATGTCACAATCATAATCATCCATGCCAGTCCGAGATAGGCGCAGTATGGCTGGCCCCATCCGTAGTATGGCAGGCTCTTCCTGTCCAGGCCTTGCTCTTGGGTTGCCTTGTAATAGAATATGAAGGTCGTGCTCATCACGATGTAGGTGATGACACCGCCCGCAGTCACCAGATTGATAAGCCAGCCCAGGACTTTTGCAGATCCATTTCCGACTTGCAAGAAAGACAGACAGGGAAAGATCATGGTGATGGCAAAGGCGAACAGTGGAACACCATTTTTGGTGCAGTAGCGGAGGAAAGCTGGTGCGCGACCCTCGAGGGCCATGCCGTACAAGGAACGTGTCGCACAGTATGTGTACGTGTTACCGGCAGAAAAGATGGAAGTGCAGAGCAAGGCGTTGACCAAGTGAGGGAGTCCATTGATCCTGAGATTCTGCATGGCGATCACGTATGGCGAGGCAGAGGCAGTTCCGCCACCGCTGGACTTTCCAGAAACGATGCCCACAAGAGTCGGGTCGGTATAGGCAACAACGATACCACAAGCCAGGGCGCCGCCAATGAAGAAAATGGCAAACCGGATGTACATGGTCTTGAAAGCGCTCTTGATGTAGGTGCGTGGACGCTTGGCCTCGGCTGCCACCATGGAGACGTACTCGGGGCCAACGATAGTGAAGGATGCAGACCAGAGACAGGCGAGAAATCCCTCAAATCGTCCAAGGCTGCCCTCGGAACGATACTCGGCAACAGCGTTGGGGGAGTTCCAGTTGCGAAAACCGTAAGCGTCACGATCGGGGTTACCGCCCACCTGTAAGTCCTGTCAATACGCGAGTTCGAAAAAAGAGTTCATAATACCTGGCAACATACCATTGTCACGAAAGTGAAGGCAAAGAGCATAAAGATCAAAACAACCTTGCCACCTGATAGCCAGAACTCGGCTTCACCATATGCCTTGACTGCAAGACAGTTGAGCAAGCCATAGAGAATGATACAGGCGACAGGAACAGCCCAAGCTGGAATATCCGAAGACCAGAATCCCAGCACCGTAGTCAAAGCCGTAATCTCAAAGGGAATGAGCAAAGCCTCGTATAAGAAGAAGTTCCAGCCCGCCATGAATCCAAATGCCTCGTCGACAAAGTGACCTGCGAGACGGACGAACCCACCCGAGACGGGATACAAGATGGTCATTTCAGCAATGCCATTATTGACCAGACCGAGAAAGATGGCATAAATGGCGTATGCGAGGAAGAGAGAGCCGGGTCCGCCCTTTGCAAGAGCACCACCTGGACGTGATGAGTTAGCATGTATGCTGGAAAACGTGTTCGAGTCAAGTTGATTGTCAGGTTTTTCATATATCATACCAATAGAGACGAAGATGGCCGTGCCAATGGAGCCACCAATGGCAATCAACTGAATCTGTCGATTATCCAAACGACGATGAAGCGCATCGCTATTCTCCACGACTTCGCCATCGGCTGTGGTCACGATAGCGTGGACATCGTCGGTCGCATAGGTCGGGATCTTCCTTTCACCCGACGACAACGACATGGCGGCCGTAGTGACTGACGGTGATATGTATGGCGCGATATGCGAAAAGAGCAAGGTGAGGTTGGGAAATAATAAACACTCCTAGCAAAGGAAAAATAGTCCGAGCATGGGGATGGTGGTTCTTGTACTTTGCATACACGCGACAGTTCCCAGTAGTGACAGATTGGCGTATCGGGCGGGCCACGCGACGTAGAGTGTACAACAGTACAACTACTTGATGCCAGCCAGACGCGGCCAGTGAGCAGCCGGCCAACTAGTCCGACTGGGGGCCTGGATGCCGCCAGTCAACAAGCATGGCATGGTCGAGGCACTTTGCAGAGCAAGCCTCCAAAGTCAATGGCCATGCGGATGCTGGGATGGAACCTCGATGGAACGTGCAATTGGATGCCGATCAGGGATCGCGGCCTTTGGCGGCCACGTGAATTGACGAGAGAACTTCCATCTAGTAGCCTTCCCACTAGTAGTAAATTAGTATGTAGGTAGGTAGTCCGGAGTGGTCGCTGTAGCCCGTGTAGTCCTTATTATTGACGGCAAGTGAGAAAAAATTTGTTCCCGCGGCATGGCACAAAAAGCATCTTTCAAGATTGTACAACCATGCAGCCAAGAGATAGCGTAAGGTAGTTTCTACTGTACCTCTGTATACCCTCCATATACACTACTACTAGCACGAAGCCTAGAGCCGAGTGGCTGAACCTGGGCCGCAATGAATATGGAGAGAAGAACTTTTTGAATCTGGAGATCTTTTCGAGGTCTAATACCATTCATGGCCGCTTTCTGCGTCGCAAAGCATGCATTCCAATTGTAGGTGCGAGGAGCTGTAGTCCATACCAGGGCTGCGTAGGTACTCTATACAGCCTGAAGGTCTGTCTGTCTCTTCATGTACTGCATCTGCATCTTGAGCTCATAAAAATTCCCGCTGATGCTAGCTTACAGTCCACGTGGTGTGGCGGACTGATTCATGATTTTAGTCTAGAACTTCAGCCACGCAGACGCCTGCAGCATCTGCAGTGACATCCCATTTCGCCTTGTGCTCAATTCGGACTTTCAACCGAGTGCTGAGAGCTGGTTGTATATATGGTCAGGAACGAAAGTGCTGGGAAGTCAGTCATTGATGGGAGGCAAATTCGAACACGTCGAAGATCGACGTCCACTGGTCGGAGACTCCGAAAAAGACTCAGAGAGTCCAGAGAAGATCTGCTGTGCGGCTCGGTAAAACATGTACAACTCAAAATGATTCTTCAGCTCCAGTGACCTTGGACTCGAAAGCGGCTCGGATACACTCGTTTGACTGGGACAGAGTCTCTGTGATGCTGCAGGTCTTTGTGTTGCCAGAAGAGGCACAATAGCCGACCACACTAAGGCTTCCATGCGCTGCAAGTCTTTTTTGCTGAGGGCACGCGCACAGATTCGGGGGATTGGCTAATGACACGCAGAAGGACTCTGGTGGTGGTGGTGGTGGTGGTTGTGTTGGTGGTGATGGTGATGGTGAAGGAGGGAGAAAGACATTCGCGATAGGTCGAAGCAGCCCTTCTCTCCAAGAGCTTCCCCCTTCCCCCCTAGCGTAGCGTAGGCAAGACGGCCAAAAGGAGCTCTCGACATGGCCTCGAGGGTAGACGAACCTCCTCAACCCACCTCACGACTTGACTGGGAGACGGCCAAGATGTGCTTCCAAGAGAAAGATGCTTGGTCAGACGAAAGTGGTGTAGAAGTGGAGATATCCCACTGTGGCAGATGTCATGGCCAGCCGTACAGCGAATGTGTCCGCGTGAGATTCATGCTGGAGTGATATAGCAGATGCTCTTCGAGAGAAACGTGTCGTCTTTGTATTGAGTGGGGGGAAGGGTAATAAATGTCCAAAGGTTGTAGTCATTCAAGCTTGTGTGAACCCTCATCAAATGTCCAACTTGGAGCTGTCTTGGCTCCTCCGCCCTCCTCCGCCGCCATCCCATCCCATTTCATCACATCCACCACATCCACACACACTCTCTCTCTCTTCCACCACTCTCCCTCCACAGACCCACCGCCATCATGATCACCAAATACATCACCTCCGTCGTAACCGCCTTCTCACCATTCAACCCGAAATCCGGCAAAACCGCCCGAAATTTCCTCGCCGCGCTCCCCTCCAACGCCCGCTCCACCATGACCATCGACATCCAACTTCTCCCCAAAGCCATGGCCGCCAAACCCGCCACTTTGGCTCTGAAGTTTAGTACGTCTCTTTTCTCTTGCTCTTTCTCTTCTCTTCTCAACTCCTTGAGAGAGATATTTTCCCGTTCACGGAATAGAAAATAATCATGGAGGACGGAGCGAGAGTGAGAATTGCAATTTTTTTTTTGGAGCTAGCTAACACTTGTTTTTTTTTTTGATAGAGGATGGAAAAGAAATGAAACTTGATATTGAAAAGATGAAAATTAAAGAGATTCAAACAGAGGTCGATCGTCACTCGAGAGTTTTGAGACGCGCGGAGGATTTGAGTGGGAATTGATAGCAAATGAAATGAAATCTATGGGGGTCGGAAGGGAGAAAGACTGTTTTGGGGGGATATGGATATGGATGAGGGCACATCAGCAATGGCGTCGGAGGAGAAGAGAACGGCGAGGGAGAGATGAGAGGAAAGAGACGAGAGAAGAGAGATGGAGGCAAGCAGTTCTTCCCAATGGCGCTTCCTATCGCGCTGCACAAGTGCATTGCCATTGCATTGCATTGCATTGGCAACACTGCTCGAAGAAAGATGCGGGCGAGCGCTACCATCTATGGTTTTGCGCGGGAGCAGTCACTCGCTGCAAATCTCCCAAGTCGCCAGGCCATTGTCACGCGCCGGCTCAAAAGATTGATCATGGATGATGGAGGGGAATGCAAGCATGCACATCTGTGAAAAAGACTTTTGATTGTATGGGAGTGGAAGTGGGAGTAGTGAATGGGCTGGGCAAACGCTGCAGGGAGGATATAAGAACGATGGGGGAGAGGAGAGAGGAGGGAGGAGGGGAGAGAGGCATAGCATAGCATAGCAAAAGGGTGATTTGATGTGGACACAGGAAAGAGGAAAGGGAGAAGAGGGAGGGGGACAAGAAGTCTTGTTTGTGCATCAACACATCCACGGTTTGCAATGGCAAGCACATGTAAAGAAAGATATGTACAATCAGCCAGATTTTAATGGCATGTACCTATGCCTAGGTACCTATGCATGCATGCTCAACAAAAAGCCGATGACATGTTTGGACTACCTTGCCTAACCTGCTCAGTCAATCTCCACGACTTCGACTTCGTCCTCAAGCTTACTCTCATCAGGGTCTTCGACATTGAGCACATCCTCATCACTTTCCTCCTCCTCCACCTCCTCCTCCTCCTCCTCCTCAACAATATGTTCCTGATACGCATCCTCTCCAACTTTATCCTGTTCCTCAGGCCACAACAACTCTCCAATCTCCGTACTATCCGCCAGAACTTCTCGCGCGCGAATTTCCCAATCGTCTTCATCCGGAAGGCCAAGGTCTTCTTTCACCAGCAGCTCCGCGAGATGGGGCGCCAAAACAAGATGTACGAATCCGTTGACGCCACCTTGGATGCCGGATGCGAGAATGAGTTTGTCGTGGATCGATCGTTGGCGTAAATCGTTGGCGAAGCGGTTCATAATGTATTCGTGGCTGGTTGGGTGGTGAAAAAAAAGACATTGTCAGTGATTAGGTAATGTAGGTGGACTCGAGTGCGGATATATGCATCGCATAAGGAGGAGGGTACTGTCACAATTCGACTTACACTCGTCGCTCACCCCGGGGACCGTAGTAGCCCATGGTGAATTTGCTGGTACCTTCCACAATATCTTTTTGTCGTTTGCGACCTTGTTTGGTATCCCGCTGCAATCTGGTGCGATGGTCCGATGTCACTTGGTCGTGCAAGATATCAGATAAGAATTCGTCATGTTTGCGCATACGCTGGTGTAACTGATCCCAATTGATCGCTGGATAACCCTTTTCATCCCACATTTCCTGCGCTGTCTGCTTTTTATGCCATGTGCAGAATCTTTGTTGCCATTTAAATGTCCAAGGTCTGCCCAGCAGGGTTTGATCTTCATATGTCTCTCTGAGCGTTTTCTTCACAAGGTTACTGCAGATACTACACCGGACTAGGATAAAGCCGTCAACAGATACGGGCTCTGCCTCATCAGATTCTACATCGCGCAATGGAGAAGGAGGATCATTCGTCCCGCAGCCGGGCTCGGGGGCAGAGCTTGTTACACCAGCGGTGGACTGCGAGGAGAAACCAGGACCCAAGTCATGTCTTTTGAATCTTACCTCTGAAGACGCTCTCGGTTTCGGTGCTTCTGGGGCCTTTTTGGTTTTAGGAGGAGGTCGTATGTGCGGTCTTCTGCGCGTTGTCGTTCCGTACAAGGGCTGTTTCTTCGCGTAAGTGACCTGTTGCTTTGGTGCCCAGCGTGGAAGACCGCTGAATTTCCGTTTCTTGTTATCAGGCCCATGAATGTTTTTGAACCCGAATACAGCTCCGTCATCGTCATCATCATCATCCTCCAGCTCTTCGTCGCCCACAATCTTGTCCAAATCTCTAGGCTTCCGGAATTGTTCCTGGGGACGTGAATCGTTCTTCCTCGAGCTCAAGAAATTCGGTTCCTCCACTCGCTTGAATGCAGCCCCCTGACCAGCACTCGTTCCCGGTTTGGCATCATCTCCAGTATTACTTCTCGTTCTTTTCGTGCTCTTCTCACAACCAGGCTTCCCGCCTGCTGGAGCCTTCACGCTGCCCACACCACTCCTTCCCCGCGTGCTTGTGCTTCCATTGCCCGTATTCTTCAGCGACCCAGCGACGATCGAAGGCTGCTGCTCCTCATCACTACTACTCAGTGGATCTGCCTCAAAGTCCGTCTCGGTCTGCATCCTCGAAACCCTCCTCTTTCTCCTCTCGATAGACTCAGGACTCGGCAAAGACTTCTCAGCCTGGCTTCTCCGACTCAGCAGAGGTGCTACGTTCTCGTTGTTTCCGAGTTTCAACTTCTTTGGTGGACTGTCCTCACAGAGATCGATCACTCTTTCGCGCTTTCGTGGACTCGTTCTCAATGGTTCTCGAGGGGGAAGTGACAGCGGCAGTTGGTTCTCGGGCCTCTTCTTGAAGTCTCCCGCAAGTCGCGACGACGACGACGACGACGTCTCGAGCGGTCTCGTCGTCTTGAAGCCAGACTCCTTTCGTGGCTGTACAGGAGGTTCTTCGTGGTCGTCACTGGAGGCGTGCGGCTTGTTGTTCACGATTCTGAGGAGCGGCTTGAACCTATCCCTGCTTAGCCCCGGCATTATCGCAGTTGAAGATCAATTGGTGAAAGGTAGTGTACGTTGCTTCATTAGGTAAATCGTGAAGATGTGCGCTTCGAGGTGTGAAGTCACCAAGGCAGAGTTCAAAGCTTAGGAAATGATCAAAGCTCCCCGTCGCGTCGTGACAAGATTTGGATTTAGATTTAGGATTCGTGTAATTGTCGTGTTTAGCCTTCAGAACAGCACAGAGGACACTGGACAGCATGTTTATCACTGGAAGCCACTAGCAAGTCCATTCTCGACATATGAAACTCGCGATTCGACGCTGTAGTCCTGGTTCCTAACCCAATCGTCCCTTGTCCTCCCTCGTTTCTCCATCCGATGTATTGTACATTAATCTGCGCGAGCAGTACTTGGCCATCTAGACGAGCCCCCCGCCTACCATAGTCCAAGGAAATCTCATTGTACACAAAAGACTCCAACCCGCCTCCATGAATCATATGATCAAGACTTGTTGACCTGCCGCTGGAGACACTGTCAATTCAAGACACCAAAAAACACCATATTTGCCACAGGAACGCCAGAGGTGACTGGGACTAGGCAGCGAGACCAGGCGTTGACAGTGTCGAGTCAATGCTGCGCGTTATCGCCAGAGAGCTTGGAGGCCCCTACATGTTGTTATGGAAGAGGCGCCATTTCTACTGCCTGCACGCATTTTGCGCAGGCTCACCAGTCGCACTGCAGCGGACCCAGTGAGATCCAACAAGTCGAATAGACCGCGGAGAGTCGCATAACCTCCCGAAGTCCCGAGGGTCGGATACAATCGCCTTTGCCAGCTCGTGCCCGCTGAGACCTTTCGCTCCAGCCCCAGCTCCCATGCCTTCGAGTCGGCCATGCTGTTCGACTTTTTCGAGCGTCTGTCGCTCCCCATATGTAGGACAGCGAACAATACCCCGCATCGACCAGTAAGCAGCGCGTAACCCGATGAAAGTGCGAATGTGAGGTCCAGTACGATTAGTACTGGCCTGTCGCTGTGCCATAGGCAAAGTCAGTGGAGCTGTCACCGCCTTCCAGGGGTCCACCAAGTCCGTTGTTGGTGTTGTCGAAAGTCGCTGAAGCATCGTGCACAGCTCCTGTAGCTCCTCCTGAAGCCTTGTCGCCTCCCTTGGCTACCAGATTCTGGGTGGGGCATCAGTATGGATACTCGGATAAGATATACCAGGATGTATAGATTGTATAGATTGTGATGCGTTTCAGGTACTCACCTCTCGGTATCTGGCCAGGTAGATCTTCAGCGCCTCACCATAGTTCTCAAAACCCAACGAAGTCATCGCAAAAAGTATGTCTTCGCCATTGACCGTTTTGCGCTTCTCCTGCTGACATTTCTCGGACGCTGATTCAACAGATTAGCCGCCTGCGGCAGTGCAAGATGATAGCCGCCAGGAGATGGCGCTAAAGGAATACGTACCCTCACTCGTGATGAACGAGATGAATTCGCTCACGCACTCTTGCATACACTCTTTGGCCTCTTTCGCAATCTTGGCATTCTCGGGAAGGGCAAGCTTCATGATTCTGGCGACTGGTGCAAAATTATGGATGTTAGCATCTTGATCGAAGTTCTTGCGGTTGGGATGCTTGATTCGATGCAATGCTTGTGGTGATGAAGAAGAAGTGTGCGGGGATGTCGACGGCATGGTGCTGTTTCGTATCGTCTGTTCGTCCAGTCGGCCACAGGCGAGACGTAGGCTGCAGATCGCTGGGCTGGCAAAGGAGCCTCTGATTCGACAGACTTGCAGACCAGACGCGCGCTGCAGCGTTATATGTGGACGACGAGTGACGCCTACACTCGAGCATCCGTCGACGTGCAGGCTGTCAAAGGGGAAAAAAGGACAGTCCAGAGCACAAAATCACGGATGGACAAGGATAGCACGGTGCGTCGTGGGACGCAAGGTGCTACAGAATGGGGGGGAGGAGTACAGGAAACACCAAAGCGTTCGCGCGCGACTCACCATTTGCTATCGGCAGCCATCGATCTTGCTCCTTGACCTCGAAATCATAGCCCAGGTCTTCTGGTCGAGTATTCATTTCGTCTCCGGGCTGATCGTTTGGCTGCTGGGCTGGATCATTGTTTTCTGGAGTTTGAGTGGCTGGACCTTCGTCCTCGTTCCTCTCTGGGGACTGCGACATCTTTAATCGAGGTACAGACCCGTTTTGTGTAAGTGTGAGCTGTCACTGATTCGCTGGCCACACGTCAATACCACCCCTGCACTGCAGAAGACGCAGCTAGGTGCAGGTGGAATCTAGCTGCCGACGCCGGCAGGAAAGATCTGTCGTAGTTCGCGGCACGCGAAAGCGGTGTGGTTCCACAATTGCGTGGAGTCCAAGTGCCAGCGGTGAGAGGGAAAGTTGTGCGATCCTCGAGCTTGGGATCGATGCGTGCCCGTGTATAGGCAGGCGGGAAGGGGTGCCGCCGAACTGCGTTGATCTCAGATTTGCGCGGACGGGCGATGGCAGCACAACTAAGCCCGCAAGCTCTGGATCAGGTAGGTATGCAAGGCGAGAGTGTTTTTGGGGGGGTGGTTGACGGGAGAACGTGTGTTTTTGCGTCGGCTTGGCACGCTCACCGGGGTGGAGGGGGGGGGAGGCTAGGGAAGGCTGTGGCCCTGTGTGTAGCTCTCTCGAGGATCCAGTTGCGTAGCCAGCTAGAGGTACAGCGTGCGAATGCGCAGAGAGGCCCAACCAGTGCGCTGCGTCGCCTGCGCGTGTTGTTCGCTTCCGTTGCTGTGCTAAGAACAGGTCAACAGACGCGGGCTGGCCGTGGCCCGATCGAAGCCGTTTGGAGCTGGGCGCGCGCGCGCGCGGTATCGTTGGAGAGTGGCGCGTTCCGACGTGTTCTCTCTGTCTCTCTCTCTCGGGCTCTCTGTCGGTGGTGTACGTGAGGCGTGACTGGCGTGTGTCCCGGCGTACAGCTGCACTACAGGTACCGTACTCACTACTGGCGCAGTCTGGCGGGCGCTTTTAGTGTCGTCGAGGCCTGTACATGAGGGAGGTAGTTATGCGCGCCCAGACAGCCAGTGAGCAAAAGGGACGCGCGGAAAATCGTTGATTGGACGTAGGTGGAGAGGGACGTGGAGAGGCGACTTGACTGTGCAAGGCAAGCAAGGCAGGGCACTTTGAAGAAGGCCGAGGGATCTTTGATTTTCCGGAGGGACGGGGGACGGGGGGTCCTCCATTCACCATTGCCCTCCAAGACTTCCGCCTTTCAGGGACCGGGCCTGACGGGCCAATGAACGCGCCCGTCTGCCGTTCACGTCTGCCATTCGACTCTTCGCCAGTCGACTTCATCTCCTCTGCACGTGCGCCATCCCCCGTATGGCCCCCCGAGTTGGACAGGGCTGTATACCGTAGAGTCGTAGACACTACCTAGGTACGGCACTACTATAGCTAGTCTATCTTACCGTCACTACACACAGGTACAGTACAGTGAGGTCGTCGAGTCACCGTGCCAAGACCAGACATGCTGTGCAATCTGTGACGAGTCTCGATGTGGGCGGCAGGATGAGAAGAACCGACGTCGACAGACAGACACGCGGCTCCCTTTCTGCGGCAAACAGAGGAACCAATGCACCCTTCCAACTTCCATGCCGCACGTTCACGATGTCATGCATGAGCGCCCAAGGCTGCATCCTCGCCGCAGGCTAAAAGGAAAAAGGACAACGCTGTAAGAAAATACAATGAATGTTGTCATAGCATGGCATGGACAGGACAGGACAGGACAGGCACGACTAGGTAGTAAAAGTAGGTCAGTCAGGTAGTGTGCACGCTCACAATCCATGTATCGCATCCTTCACCCCTAGCGTGCAGCTATGTGCTGGCATCGCGCGATGACGAGTTCTCATCATCAGCAGCAGCAGCAGAGGTCAGAGGCAAGACTCGGAAGTGCCGTGTGTGCTCGCTCGCTGATGATGATGATGATGATGATGATGTCGAAAAAGAGTGCGGTCTGTCTGATGAGATGTGGCGACTGCTGCCGCGTACATGTCCTGCCTGTTTCAAAACGCCTGACGTTGAAACGACCAGTAATGGTGAGGCTGTTCCTGACCAGCATTCACTGGCTCCATCACGACCTCCGATGTTGCCAATCAATCTCGATGGACGACCCTCCGCTGCCCTCTATTGGGCCTCCTCTCAGCACAGCTAGAGGATCGGGCCAGCGCATTTTCTGCACGAGGTTTGACTTGCAAGCCTCTTTTTCCCGCCGAACTGGCCAACCCCCCGGTGGTTTGGTTATGTTTGGAAGCGCGCACAAAGATGGTGTGTGGGAATCTTACCCGGCCCCACGTCCAGGGGAGATGTCATTGCGGAGCTGTCTCTTGACAGCGCACCGTAACAGATACTTGGAGACAGGTACTTACTATCACCTGACATCTGGCAGAGCACATGACAAAGCATGAGGTCTAGATCGTGATGTGTAGCGAGGATGAGAATGGCAGGCAATACAGGAGAAACAGATGGGGATCACGTGGGGCATACTTGCGAGACTGCCCTGTAACAGAGTCTAGAGTGTCTCGCTGCTTCTCTTCATCGAGACTCGATTGCACAACGCCCTCAGAGCGGACGCTCCCAAACTCCATACTGATCCATGGTATCGCAGGAGCCAAATCGAACATGTTGGGCCCGTCTGTGCAGCGGACTATCACATGCCATTTCCTGAAGCATTCCCACTTTTCCAATTCCAGCAGCATCCACTGCCCGCTTCATCTGTTGAACTGCGTCCTTGCGCTGCGACCATTGCATCCGCCTTGGAACCAGTACGTATGAGACCTTCTGTGTGACGTTGTTTGCGGGTATCAATTCTGCATAACACGCAGAGCGGGATCCCACATCAGATCGTTCCCTCGCGCGCAAGACCCACGGCCCGACTGATTGACTTCGTGGTCGTACGGACTTGCAAGAGTTTAGACATGTCAGCATATGTGGGGCTGGTTCATTGTTGCACAACTTGGATGTTGTTCTTCTTCTGCTCTGAAGTCAGTAACGGACAGTGGAGCAAATCGTCTCGTGATGGTCGATCTCACCTTCCACTTCTCCATCTCGGTCTGCTTTCCCGTGTACTGATTCACCAGATCCTCTAACACCTTCTTCAAGCCTTCTGCGTTTGTCTGCAGTGTGGGAAGAACATCCTTCACCGTCCTCTCGGTCAGAACGCCATTGATCATGCGGAAACACTTGCGGTCACCAGGGAGTGGCGCAAGCGTTTCGAGCACTAGTCTGGATGATCTCGTTAGTGTTTCGTTCGAGTGAAGAACATCCTCACTAACCCTGACCATGACCAGAGTTCAGGGCCAGGTCGTGGCTTTAATCGAGGCAACGGGCTTTCTCGCACTGCTGCAGGTACAACACAGTGATTGTTCGAACCTTCGTGGTGGCTTGACAGTTCACCTACTGTCGGAATCATGGAAACAAGGCGGTCGAGCGAGCATCATGTATTGATGGGGCGGTGAAAGAAGGTTTATTGGCCGCGATCCTGGGTGCAAAGTCGAAGGCGAGGCAAGGTGATCACTTTGGCAGTGCTCACCGCAAGACATTGGCAAGCAAAGCGGATGCGTAGTTGGGGTCTGACTCACTTGTGTTCCTCGACCTCTTGCTCAATATCACCAATCTTTTGTGCTATGGCTTGAAGGGTTTCCTTGTAGTTCGAATATTGGACCTGCAGTTCTGTGACGGGAATGAGTAAGGGCATCATCCATCAGAGCTCATCAAGCGCAACCGTACCTTGCTGCTTCTTCGCAGAAATCTGTTGTTGCGACATATTGTCCGATTTGAAGATGGCATTCGTTCGTCGCTGGTGCGGCCGCGCTGGTCGAGAACCGAAAAGTGTCTCTTAGTCAGCGTCCCCATAGAACTTTAACCGCTATTACACCACCACCTCGACTTCGCCTCCTCCACTGATCGACCTACTTCCACACCATTCAATAACAGAGTCCACCCACCATGCATCCCCATCTCCATCGCGAAGACCAAGGCGGTAAGCCCCACACTCCAGTCCCGAAGACAACATCTCCCAACATTTCAAAATACTGACAAAAAGCTTCTCCTCACCAGGCTGCGAAGAGCTCATGAACGCACTCGAAGCATGCCACGCACGAGGATTCCTCTGGAAATCCATGGGAATGTGCAGCGATGCCAAAACCCAAGTCAACAAATGCCTGCGCGCCGCGCGCCTCGACCGTACCGCACATAATCGCGAAGTGGCGAAGAAGAAGCGAGAACATATGAATAAGGTCTGGGCGGAAATTGATGAAAATTCTTGAACAGGCGAAGAAAGAAAGCATACGGTTTGATGATGGTGTAAATGTGAGGGATACCTACCTCTTCGAAAGAGGAGGGGCGAGGTTTCAGACTTCACTCTATGGGATTAAGAGGCGGAAAGATGGCATTCAAGAAGAATTCCACGCAGTGCGGAGCGATGATACCCAGGGCGGCAATTGCATGACGGGAAGGTTTTGAGCAGACGCGAGGCAGGATGGCTGAAGAGCAAACAAATCGTGACTGTGGACTCGATATGCGCCCAGAGAGGAGCCGGAACTGAGATCAGCACGCAGTGGTGAAGACGACGAAAAGCGAGGTTTTCGGACTCACACCGGGGGAAGGGCATGGAGATGATCCACAGGCAGGCTGAAGCGAGCTACGACGTGTACGATAGGTAATGAAACCGACCAACGGGCAGCAAGCTGGAGCTCTGGAAATAGCTTCGCTGAACTCTTCGAGATAAAAACGAGAACCACATCATTCTTCTTCTTCTTCTTCTTCTTCTTCTCCTCTCTACTTCAGATAGATCCTACAGCCAAGCCATCATCGAACTTGATCATCTGGCTCTCTCTCTCTCTCCCTCTCTCGCTCTCCCTCTCTCCCTAGCTCTACCTTCAAGGGATGCACACACATACACACACATACACATACATACATACACACACACAGCCAAAACCAAGCCCAAAATCAAAACCAAACCCCAAAAAGAACAAGAGACGAGCACTTCAGCAATACGATAAAAAGCCACACTAAAGTTAACGTAGCTTGGGGATACCACTTCTACCTACTACTGCCTACTTGGAGAAGATGCACGCATCTTTTGTTGTTTCTTTGGTCACAGCAGGTAGGTGCTCCATCTCATTCATCCATCCCATCTCATCCCATCCCATCTCATCTCATCCATCCAGTCCAGAGGATCAAGAAATAATCCAAAGGAAGGAGGTATCAATCTTTCCTCATCTCGGTCTTCGTCTCGTCTCATCTCATCTCATCTCATCCCATCTCGTCCCCTATCCACTCCATGGTGTTTCCATCAAACAGCAAGAAGCAATTTTTTTCTCTTCTTTCCATTCCCGCCAACAGAACAAGAACAATGCCGAAAGGGCCCAAACAAACTTCTCCCGAATCCAGAGAGAAAAGGGTATATTGTGCGCCAGAAAACGCCACGCAAGTCACCAATTTCGCCCATTCCCGACCAGTCCATTTCCCAATAAAGCAATGAGCGAGTGCTCTCCTTCTTCGCTCATGAAGGCGCAGGAGGTCCACCCGCAGCCCGGACGGCGAGCGTCAATTTCTCATTCCTCTCCACGGCAATGTCGAGATCCTCGTCGCCTTCTAAACGGTAATACTCTCCATCTTTCTCATCTCGATATTCAATGTCCAGATCTTCGGCTTCGAGTTCAGCAGCCTCTCCGAATTCCAGTTTCCGCCTCTCCACAATCTTCTTCCTGAGGTCTTCAAATCCGAATTGTCCTCTCGCAGGCATTCGAATCACGACACACGTGTCACGATCGAACCACGCCTTCACCTTGACCGGTCCCGTCGAAGCCGTGCTGTTGACCGTCGTGTGAGAGACATTCGTGTGCTGACGGGACACGGGAGGTGGAGCCGCGAGTCCGCCCGGCCCAGGAGATTGGCTGCTGAACGAGGCGGAGGCCTGACTCGGTTGGGGTCGATGGAGGCCGCCGTTGTTAGAGGCCTGTGATTGTGTGTACTGATGTGTTCGTGCCTGTCCCGCCTGACCTGGATACGGCTGATGGAGTGCAGATTGTCCGCTGGCCATGGAGACTTGCGAATCTCGGTGTGGGCCATCGCTCGGGCGTGCATGCTCGTTCAGATCGATGGTGGCAGGGTCGACTTCGTAATCTCCTTCACGCAGCGCAAAGAAGCCTCTGACGAGAGAGGAGTGTGTAATGTGCTGGGGCAGCTGTAGCAAATCTCGCAGGTACTCGTCCAGGTTCGCTCTCCGTCCTTCCGTGATGTTATCCGTAACGTACTTGACCGGTCCTGGCATATACGGCAAGATCCTCGGTTTACCAGGCGTTTGCCCTGCCTCTTCCGGAAATGCATTAATCATATTGATTTGCAGTTCGTAGAAATCCTCGTATATCCTCGACAAGTCATAGTGGCAGTTGTTTGCTAGCTTGCACTCGACGACAAAGTGAAACTTGTCGTCGGCATACGTGTACCGGGGTACGGAAGCGCGGAGGGGCGCAAACATGTTCTGCTGCTGTTGTGTCGCAATGCTGGCCTGTCGGGAGTGCATGGAGGAGCCATTCTGCTGCTGTAAGCTCATGCGGCCCATGGCCTGGTCCATGGTGCCCACAGCCGTTGTGGACACGGTGCCTAGGGGAATGCTCGTATTCTTGTACTCTGCCGCCATCTTCTTCCACTCTTCCACGCGAGGAATGCCCGCTGCTCGCACTGCTTCGAGCGGATCTTCCGCCGCTCTCCCCGTCACCATGTCCCGAATCTCGATAAAGGACACTGGAATCAGTCCCGGTCCACCAAGCCGTGTTATGGGCTTCGCGACGAACCACTCCGGATTCGACTGTGCAATGACAATGATGGCCTCTCCCTCCTTCGCATCCAGCTCATCGGGCCGTTCGGCGTGAAAGTCGTACGACACGATTCCATAAATGCCTGCCGGCGACTTTCCAAACGAGGGTGTGGCTCGATGCCCGGGCATGTTCGCTGTCGGACCCATTCCGTTCATGTTCGCGGGCATGCGAGGGGCAGCAGTGGTGGTGGTCGCGGGCGGTGTCGAGCCTTCGGCGTAGCCGCTGTCATGCGTGGTGCTGTTGATGGAGCGCGACGAATCGTCCGAATCACGCACCGTCTTGTGCACGTTCTCAAAGTATTTGACAGGCACCAGTCCGCGCTCGTTACGCAAGGGATTGCAGGCTTCGTACCAGTCCGGATCGGATTCGCGGCTCACGACGTGGAGGAAATCACCGGCGCTGAAGGAGAGGTACATGTGAGAGTCGGGAGGGGCATTGTAATCGTATATGGCTTTGATGACCTGTTTGGAGGGAAGAAATGAGCATCAGAGTTTGTAGCGTGTATCGACGTGAGTCGTGTGTCTTTCTAACTGGTTCCCGTATTCTGCGACGTCCTCTTATGCTCCACACCTTGCGGTCGTACTTTTTTGATTTAATATATATGCAACGACATACCTTTTTGGGCGGTTCTATTGCAATGGCATCCTTTTGCGGTACGAACAGCGGTGTTTTGGTGGCGCCAGCAGAATCGTGCTTGTCGCTCTTGACGGATCGCCGGAACTGCCCAATGAGTCAGTATTTCATATATACTCCCGTCACACCGGCGCACAGTGCGTGCCGATGTTTCTCCTCCCCCCTCCCCAGCCCACTGAACCCACCTTCATGATGCCACCGGATGTCGCCGCGCCCGCCTCTCACACACAGATGGCGGTCGGGGAGGTGGAGGGGCAGTCGAGGTCGATGTCGAGAAGTAGGTAGGTCGGTAGCGGGGCTGGTGGTGGTGGTAGTGGTGGTAGAGGTGGTAGAGGTGGTGGGGGTAGTGGTGGCGGAGGCGGGAATGGTGAGGCGTGTCGAGTGTGTGCGATCAATTCCTTTTCTCGTGATGATCCGCGGCGTGTTCCTTATCGGGAAGTGGCCCAGCACAGGGTTGGAGGGGTGGCGTGAGGGATCGGAGGGTCGGGCGGTGGAGGAAGCGCGAGGCTCTGGGATAGAGAGGGCGTCGCACGTGGCAATGTCGCAAGGTGAGACAAGAGGTGCGCGTCGTCGGTGGGCGGTCGCGTGCCAGTGGCCGGTGAGAGCAGAGAGAGAGAGTGAGAGAGGTGGTAGTAGGTAGTAGTTTCGAGTAGTTTCGAGTAGTGTCGTGTGGTGTGCCAGGTGTGCCAGGTGGTGGTGTGCGGTAAGGTACGGTACGGTGACCCGTGGGCGGTCGTGCGGCCACTGGGGCAGGCTGACAGCGCGCGCGCGTGGACCTCGTGGCGGGCAGGGCAGGGCGAGGCAGGGCAGGGCTGGGCAGGGCAGGGCAGGACAACAGAACGGGAGTTACAGGACACAGAGACAGAGACAACAGCAGAGGCAGGGCCAGGCAGGTGTGAGAGAGAGCAGACAGGGTGTGTGAGTGAGTGTGGGTGGGTGAGTGTGTGTGTGTGTGTGTGTGTGTGTGTGTGAGGTGTGAGTTGTGTGTGTGTGTGGGACAGAGAAAGAGCACAGGGCTTTCTGTTGCCGAAGCTTATTATGATTATTCGTCCCGGCCGGATTCAATTTCCAGAGTGAAGGATGATGAGTAGGGTCCAGTAAGGGAAGTGGATGTTGGTTGGGCTGGGTTGGGTTGGGTGCACAGATGCCAGATGGATGCATGCAAAGGGTCAAGGAGCCGGGGAAGGGCGGGGCGGGGAGAGCCTGCAAGTCTTGTTTTGAAGGCTGCGGGATCTGTTATTGTTGCAGTTCCAGTTCTGTATCATATCCCGAACTACCTCCTACCGCAAGAGAGAGAGAGAGAGAGAGAGCGAGAGAGAGAAAAGAGAGAGAGTGTGTGTATATGCGACTGCGACTGCGAGAGAGAGACCAATGCAGTGATCGGCATCCTGTTCGCCCGTTGCTTTGTTATTGTTATTGTTATTGTTATTGTTGTGGTTGTCGGTGCGTGCGACGGGCCATGACAAAGCGTCGATCAATAACAAGTTCCGCAAGGAGAAAGTCAGAAAGCCTCAGAACGAGTGCCAATTACCTAGGTACCAGGCAACTAAGGTAGACTACGTACAATATATTTTACGATTCTTACCGTTTACCTACCCAACTTTGAACTACCTGTCTGACCTGACCTGACCTAAGTAAGCTTTACTTCCAAATAATCTACATCAGTCATCAATTATGAATCAAAATTTGATGAATCAATTTCCTCGAGTCCTTCCCTCCCCTTACCTTCCCTTAGCTCCTGCTGAGTCCTGCATATGTACCTACATGCATATACAATGCATATATGCACAAGGTCAAGGTACATGTACATATGCAGTCCATATGCATATATCCTTCCTGCATACATGCATACGGTACTCACCCACTCTTCCGCATAAAATCTGATTCGTTGAGAAAAAAATATAAATTTGGAATCCACACTCGGGGAAGTGACCCATTCGTCAGGTCATATATTGAAAAGAAAGCAAAAGAAAAAGAAAAAGAAAAGAGAGAACCGCAGTTTTGGGTACAGTAGTGGAGACATCACAGGTCGTAGCAATACCTGACACCTCATCATCCATCAATACCTACACGTACCTATTATATATATCTCTCTCCCCAGGTACCTAGTCGGGTATCTTGTGATCCTCCAACAACACCGTCGTCACAAAATCACCCAGCAAAACCCCCCCAAAAATCAAAGAGCAAAGAGCAGAAAAGAGCAGGAAAAAAAAGGAAAAAAAAAGCCATCACAATCCATCAAGTCCACGAAGAAGGCCCAAAGGTCCCCGATTCGGGCAGGGATAGTCGTGGACATCCACCCTCACCCTCGCACCCCATGTTGACCACATTATTTCCCCACCAATCGAGAGCAAGCGTGCCTCCCTTGGGTAAGTTCAACGCAAAGAATATCAGCACTCCCGAAATGGCAATGCCGCACGAAAGGCCTGCGCTGAGCACATAGTTCCACTGTCAAAAATGTCAAAAGAGTTCTGTCTCTCTCTCTCTCTCTCTCTCTCTCTCACAGACACACTACTCACCTTGGACCAAAATGCCAAATATCGCTTCCGGATATACTGAAACGAAATCAGATTCACATAGAGATTTCCAATGTTAAACGCCAGATTGTACGGCGCCCCATACGACACCGGGCCCATGCAGAGCATCACAGGATGCATCTGTCGCACCAAGTTGGACCGAGGATACATCTTCTTGAGCACCCAATACCCAAACACGAGGAGGAATCCGAGCGGGAATCCCAGTAGCATCATGTTGTATCGCTGTCCCGGTCCAAAGAGCTTCTTGGGAGACAGCACTCCCCAGAATATCGTGACGGTGAAGAAGGACTTTTGCGAAGGGCACGTCATGCGGAACGGTGCATCGTCGGTGCAGACATCGCGGATGCCCATGATGAGATTGTATTCCAGAGCCGAGACCATGGCAAAGATGAACGTGGCGACTATTTGCGCCCAAAAGACGACTCGTTGCGACATTTTCATATAGTGCGCCGTCTTCAGATCCAGGCAAAAGTAGAGTGCTTGGTATGAGGAGAGATAGGCCCAGCATTTGAAGTACATCAGACCGTTCACATTGCCTGCGTTGATATATCCACCAACCAGAGCGGCCAGAACGTTGATGGCGAGCGCATTTCCCGTCACTGCCTGGATGATTCCAATGGGAATGATGAGGATTGCCGGCATAATGAGGCCATAGAAAAGGGCGCTGACCGGTGCTCCAGTCGGCCAGCCTTCAATTGCCGCAACTCCAAAGAATATCGGGAGGATCAGGAGGATCAGGTACCACCAGTCGGGCGCATCCTTGTACGCTCTCATGAGTCGCGTGTGAATGTCTTCTCCGACTTCTGCGTGACCATCGTCCTTGCCCTTGCGGAACACTTCGCGGTAGATGCCCTTGAAGCCTCGCACAATCGTCTGTCTGTGGAACAGATACACAAAGGAGAAGGATGCAGAGTAGGAGGCGAAGCACCAGATGTTGTACACAATGAAGCCCGCCGAGAACCACGGCTGCGAGTATTTTTGAAACAGACCTTCGTCGAGTCGACCCATACCGTCCAACACCTTGGTGACTTTGTACCTGCTCCCGGTGTTGTCAAATGTCCCCTGCGTATTGATGGGAAGATATCCCGTTTCCCACGCGTTGCTGTACCAGATGCCGAGAATCATCAGGGCGGCTATCACGATGCCCACGCACTGATTAACGATGGCGAAGGTAGGCAAATATAGTCCTGCGCCCCCAAACAGATTCCAGTCAAAGGTAGGCCATGGATTGAGTCCCAGACCAGTCTGTATGCCAGTCACTGCATTGAGAGCGATGTTGTTCCTGTGGTTGGCACCATTAGCCATGTGTGGAACAGAGCACGATGCAACACTTACGGAGAGATCCATGTCATCCAGGAGAAAATGGACATGGCACCGAAGACATATCTGCATTGGTCAATCAGCATGGACTCGATGCCGGTGAAGGACACGCACGTACCCCGGTAGCACAAAGTAGAGAGTCATGAATAGCGTTGAAATCAGAAATATCCTTTCCATGGACCAGCGATACATGCGCTTAAACGGGCCAGGTACAGGCTCGTCTACTTGCGTATGGAATGCCTTGATCAGTGCAATGGTGGGCAGAGCTTGAGGCCAGATGGCGACAGAAGGGAACACGAGGAATCGTCTCAGAAGACCAGCCATTCCCAGGCCAAAGAAGTTGACGGCAATCGAGATACAGATCTGGTATCCTCGGTCATATGCCCATGGCATGTTGAAGTACTGTGGCATTGCCTGTACAGGAATGATGTAGAAGGTGTAAGGTGCCGAAAAGGCCACATTGGCCATGATGGAGATCATCATGTGTTCCTTTTGGTTGAATGGTCCAGGATTCAGTTCGAAATTGCAACCGAAAATGGTGAAGCTCCATTTCGGGAGCACGCGGGCGAAGAAGCAGCCGATGGGGTCTATACAACGAATGAGTGAGCTGAATACTGTGCCACGCTGTGCTCCTTTCTACTCACACGCGAGCAATTGAGCCACCGAGGAGCCCACCGAGATACCTGGGTAGCGATAAGCGAACAAGGTGTCAATGAAGACTCCAATGCAACAGAAGCTGATGCCGATGAACCAAGATCGAATGGTGGAACAAGGGAGACTTGGATCATCAGTCGGGTCGACGTTTGCGCGGACCTCGATATATGGCGAATTCTCCGTTGCCAGCAGCACTTCGAGCTTCATACATCGGAGCATGTCGTTCTTGTCCGGCATATCAGACGTGGGCGGATCTGCGAGGAAATCTTTCATTTGGTTCATCATGTCCCCAGAGAAGTTCGGATCAGCTTCATGCATGTATACGAGTTCCTTGATGACTTCGATTGTCCGCTCCAGTGACAAGTCGTGGAGCTTGTTTTCCAATTTGATCGCCTCATCGTGCGTCGTTTCGAAGATGCGGTTACTACGAGCGAGCGTCAGATCTCTGGAATGCTTTCAAGACCCCATCATGGCATGATATATTCACTAGTCTGTTGGCGGCGCATGTTCCTCGACATGCTCCGAAAAAGCCACAATAGGCACCTTTTCGGACTTGACCTCCTCCCCCTTGTCAGGAGTCACGGGCTCCACCGTCTCCAGAATGTCATCGCCTTTGCCTGGCATGGTCGGTGGCTCACGTTGTGGTATGGTGGCCAAAGGACTTCCTGCCGCTTATGGGATCTCACAAGCAGAAGATGGTAGAAAGCTGGGCCTCACAAGTGGCGGCCGGCGGGGGGCAACATATGCCAATGTGACTTTACACTGGAAGGCTCGGAACATTCTTATCAGCGCGTGGGATACTCGTGCAGTCGGCAGTTCCATGTTGGAACGTGTTGTTGCATCTCATTCATGCCACATGCCTATCTCATGCAGCCTGTAGAGTTAAATGGTTACCAGGTAAGTTCGCACAGGGTCTGGCACCACGATATTTACCTTGCCCACCCGTGTTCGTGACTGAAATAGGACCGGCTCTTTCCACGGCCAAGCTCAAGTGAATTGCAGTAGAGAAGTAATGTTTGGCAGAGTAGCTTCACTTCTCCGAAGCCTGCAGGGAAACGGTTCAGAACAGGTCGATTGCTAGCGCAGATACTGTTGTGGGGATGGGCAGGCATTGATGGCAGTCAGCAGATGGTGAAGACGAAGGGAAGCTCACGCTGCTACCATAACACCCCTGAAGCATCTGTGTTCTGTTATCCTGGAGCTCTGGAATTCCAGCTCCTGGGTCCCAGCTCATTCACTCTTACCCCAAGCTGTCGGATCTCAAGCAGGGTCTCGTCAAGCCCTCAGGTCATGGCAAGCAAGAGCATCGCCCGTCCGTAACAGTAACACCACGTCTGCTTTGTCCTCTTTCGTGTTTATCAGATATCGTCTTCGAGCCGGGTGTAGCGTCTGGCTCTTCAGATCAGCTAGGTTGCCGCTACCTTGTGGCTTCTGCTTGGGCCCGAGGGCGTAATTCTTGGGTATTATTCAGCCTACCCTCCGGTAGCTCGGCTTTGGCTGACCATTGATCTTCCTCAACCGAGCTCACAAATAGCCGAGACCACCGCATCAAAGTGTCTCCAACAGAGGGGTTCACGTCACCCTGTTTGGGGGATTGAACTGGGGATACAGGTAGGCATTCAGCATCTCTGAGAACATTCGCACCAGAGTCCTGCATAACGCAGGAAGAATTGTAGGTGCCCGCTTTCCATGGTGATGCCCAGCTCAGCAGCGTCAGGGACGAGATGTTGTGGATGTTGATGAAGGAAGGTCTGTCAGATCGAGTGCGAGATGGGATGGCAAATGATGCCTGAGCTACCTCCTAGTAGATACCTCCTAGCCCAAGGTAGGTAGGTAGATAAGGTACCTTACCTCACTAGTGGAGTCTCGCCAAGAATAGCAAGTAGGTAGGAGGTACCTCCGGTCAGGTAGGTCTTTGTCGCAGCAAAGCATGTATAGGTACACTAGGTAGATATGTGCTTGGAGACACTGCAGATGGCTGTTTGACATTGATACAAGGAACAGATACGTTCGACTTCAAAACACAAGGCATACACCATGATCATAGATAGCACTGGAGAATGTGCGCTCTTACATCGAAAATCAGGCCTCATTCATTGGACTGGCTATGCTACGAGCACTGTTTCTCTGCCTGCTCATACCCGTTTCTAACGCCTGCAGTACACTCAATGCCATCCGCGTATACTGTCTTCAATACAAACCGACAATGCAAACCGACAATGCAAACGCATACGCCTTTCTATCGCTCTGAATGTCACAGTGCTGTGTTCCCATCGTTTCGCTTTTCCTCATCTTTCACACGCTCCGCGTCGTGTTGCAGGCCACTTCGACTTCCGACGCAGCTTCAGGTAAGTAAATCGGCAGAGCTGCCGTTGGTGAGTGCCCGCGCGACCTTGCGATCAGCGTCTGCCTTGACTCCCCGCTCGGCTTCTTGGATGTTAGTGTGGCTGGTGAGGTTCGAGCAGCGATGACGACGAGAGAGTAAGAGAAGGCTCGCGCAAAAGGGACGGGATGGGAATCATATCTGGCCCTTGATGTCGACTCTGCCAAATGCAGATTGTTTCGCCCCTTCGAACAGGTTGCCGGCTTTACCAGTCGTCACCCGGACATCGCCGTCTTTCTCTTGCACAAGATGCTGCCCACCGTATCGCGCGATGAAGTCGAGGCAGGTTCGTAGCTGGTCGGATTCGAATACTGACTCATCCTCGTCTACTGCAAAGCCGAGCTCCTGGGTTAGGAATGTGCTGCTCACGTCTGGCTTGTACCTGCGAGAGACTGTTAGCTGTGCAAGCAGCAAGAGGCTGATGTATGGTGGAACTCACGCTCTGCAGATAGCCGTCATGGCACTGACACGCTCCCTTTCGATGAACATGTCCATCAAGAAGGGCGCCATGTTCCAATCTTGTGCTTCATTGTAGAGCTTGAAGAATCTGTGATAGTTGCCAGCAGCCAATGCTTGTCGAACATTCAGTGCAAGTCGAACAAAGGGTCCCTTCTTGTCTGCTGTGGTTAGATCGGCCAACATGTTGTTCATGTCGGTCCGATTGCGCGTATAAATCAAGTACAAGATACGATACGCCGTAAACTCATCCTGGTTACCCCCACTGCCGCCGTTCTCTCCCAACTTCATCTTGTACAGACCACGAAGTTGTGTCTGACATTGATTGTACTCACCCAGATCCTTTTTCTCCAGTGCAATTCGTGCGTGCACCTCATATACTCGAATGGTGAAGTTGTTCTTCAGATGTTGCACAGTGAGATCCTGTCGGATAGACTTCAACTGGTCACACACATACGTGTAATCTCTGGAATCCTTCCATCGGCCTATGACATGTTCGAGCGCTTTCTCCAGGAGGGCAAGAGGTCGCACGGTGTTGGGATGAGGCGGAGCTGTCAACCTGAAATATCTCTTCTCGAGAATTTCGCAAGTGCCGACGATGGGTCCAGAACTGGCATGCACCGTGGAAGAGTCATCACGATAATGAGGCGAAGATAAATCAGACGAAACGTGACCGAAGCGCTGGCGACGTCTCTCAAGAGCCGCCTCGCTGTTGTCGAACTTGCCGATCTTTGCGTTGCTCTTGTTGTTGTTGTTCTTCTTCTCCTGTTTCTTACTTGGACCGCTGATTCGGTCGGCAATACTCTTGGTATGCGACTTCTTCCAGGGTGGAGTCACGGCGCGGCCATTCTCATCGACCAGCTCCTGGCTCGCTGACTTCCTCTTCTTGCTATTCGCTGTGGGCGAAGCAATGCCATATGTGCCCAAGTCGGAATGAAGGTTAGCTAGCATGGCGTTCTGCGCCATGTACATAGATTTGCGACGCTCATCAAGAAGCAGTTGATGAGGCAAGGGGTACGATGCCCAGTCGCGCGCCTGCATGGTGCCGTTCTCTTGTGCTTCTCTAATTGTGGCGGACAACTTGGCTCGAATGTCGGCATCGGAAATAGAAGCAAACGCGGGCTCCGTCTTGAGATTGTTATACTCGAAGAAGGCTGTGTTCACCCAGGTTTTGAGTGACTGAGGGAACTCCACCTTTTGAGCTGGCGGAGGCGTAGTTGGAGCGACAGGCTCAGGCACGAGCGTCTGTCGCGCCCTCACCGCGGTGTAAGCGGGTTCTATCGCCATCACCGCCAGATGTGAGCGGGTGCGTTGGTCGTGATGGTGGTGCTAGAGCGTGGAAGACGCGGGACTCGAGGCAGACTGCGACGGCGCAAAGCGAATTGCCGGCGTGACCGGCAGACAAAAAAAGGTTGTCAAGTGAAATTGCAGCCGCTGGTCGCCGGGTGGGGCGCGAAGTGGCGTGCAATGGTAGAACAAAGCTCGATGGCTGACTTGATGCAAATGCTCGTCGCGGTGGTAGAGGGTGCGATGGCAAGTTGGTGTTGGGGAAGAGGAGGAGTGAGTGAGTGGGAAGTGGAAGGGGAAGGAGACGATCATTGCTTGGCGGAATTACTCGATTCCAGGACTTTTGGCCATCATGATCTCCAGTATATGTACCTTGGGTGTGTACATGTACCTAGGTACCTCAGGCCCTCGGTCACTCGTCTCGGTGAAGCATCATCGGAGGGTGAAGCACAGGGCAGGGACTGACACCACAACACCAACCTCACCTCGTGGTCGCACAAGGACTAACCTAATTGCGGCATCTTCACCTACATCGCTCGCCCCTATGTCTGCGAATGTTTCTCCGTCACCTGGACCTGACGACCGCGCTTCGTCCATCCCTCTACGATGATGAGACCTTGCTCTTTGTCCAGGATGGAGTCGGGCTGTACGAGGGGAAGTACAAGATTCCGAATCATCAGAATGGGCACGCATACCTGACTTCTCACCGCGTCTGCTACGTCGATAATGAAGAGCCGAGAAAGTACTCAGTTGCCGTAGATCTCAAGGAAATCGACAGACCAGAATTCTATGCCGGCTTCTTGAAGTCCTCCGCCAAAATTACGCTCTTCCCCAAGACACCCAAGAAGACCGCGTTTGGGGGCATCCGCAGCCCGGCGCCGCGGTATGCCTCTCCCACCGATGCTCTGGTTAGCCAGAACGGCTCGCCCTCTCGCTTCGTGCCCTCTCCGGCACCAGCTAGGGATGTGAACGCCACGTGGATTTGCCCCATCTGTGGCATGCCAAACGCAGTGCCTGCGAACTTTGACCCGGGAACTGCAAACCAGCATACACCGCTTCCGGCGTGTCAGGCGTGCGGCGTGAAACCACCACTGGCATTACTGATCAAGGCCACAATTGCGGCCATGTCCAATAGACCAAGCGGTACATCGAGCAGCATGCCGGGCACGCCGCCTAATTCGACGGACGCCCTGTCTATGCCACCTCATGTCTCAGCATCGCCAAAAGCGAACTCTGCTCCCAATCTCTGCCCCCGTTGCACCTATCAGAACTTTCCTGGGATGACGAGCTGCGAGATGTGCTCGGCTCCTCTTCAAGCTGGCTCGAATCGTGCCTCGCGGCTCATTGAAGAGACCTCAAACCGACCAGAATCGCCAGGGCCTAGCCTACCTGGCTCTTCAATCGTCGATGATCACACAATTGAGACGATCAAGTTCTCGTTTCGCGCAGGTGGAGAGAAAATATTTCTGGATCGACTGCAGGAGGCTTTGGTACAACGTAAATGGTTGTTACAAAGTGCTCCGCCTGTGCCCAGACCAGGAGGTGCACCACCGCAGTCGAGCGGCGGCTTTGGCCCTCCAAATAATAGCTCAGCACCAACAGGTACACCGCCGCGTGTGGTTGGTATCGCTGGTCTAGAGCAACGGGGCGTCGCTCTTCGTCAGAACAATCAGGCCGTTATCGGAACTGCGTTCGAAGATCTCGAAGCTTTGATGACCTCTGCAAAGGAAGTTATTCAGATGGCAGAGCAGTTTGCAAGACAATCGAACGGAAATACCAGCGATGATACAAAGAGAATCATTTCGGATTCTGCATCAGCTCTAGGACTAAGGACTACCAAAGATATGCTGGGAACCGGCTCATCTGCGGAGCAGTTATACGTGACGGAGCTTTCACGAGACCTGGCAGAGTTCCTCACCGATGATCGCAAAGGCGTTCTCCGAAAGGAAGGTGGGATCATGTCTCTTGTGGATCTGTGGCAAGTTTTCAATCGCACTCGCAACGGTATCGAGCTCGTATCCCCTCTCGACTTCGAAAAAGCGGCCAATATGTGGGACAACTTGCACATGCCAGTACGATTGCGCCGTTTCAAAAGTGGATTGCTCGTTGTTCAGGACCGCAGCAGAACCGATGAGAAGACTATTGGAACTCTGCTTCAATGGCTGCGAGAACCGCAAGATGATTGCCATTCTACTGTTGCCCGCATATCTCAGTCGTTCGGCAGAAGCATTACGGCTCAAGAGGCTGCCGAACACTTTAGCTGGAGCATCGGCGTCGCGACTGAAGAACTCGAAATGGCCGAAGAATGCGGCGCTTTGTGTCGGGACCAGTGCCTGGACGGCATCAGATTCTGGGAGAATCACCTTCTCAGTACGGTTACGGCGTGAATGCGGCCAGCTGAGTCTTTGGCGAGCTTTTTAGATTACGGTCTAGCAGTTGACATATCTGAACCCATGTCAATGTGCCTGTTCGAATCCCCTAGTGCACATTCAGCTGTCTCATAGCTCCAGGAACAGGCTGAACTGTATATAGCAAACAGCGCACTTCGCTCTTTGAAACCCGGCTTCGCGATAGTAGTAGTTAGTACTGTACGAGTGTACCTACAACCCTCTGAGACATACATGTACCCCACATATTCGCGAGATATGCAGTCTTCACTCTCTACGATACGTCGACTTTGGGTGAATCAATCTACTTCGTTCGGCTCGGACGAGCAGAATAGTCCTTAAGGTATGATCTTCTCGGCAACAAGAAAACACCGTGAGCTGGAGAAGAGTAGTCCACATGTGCGGTGTAGTGGGGCCAAACCGTACGCAGTGACGAATCATCTTAGAGCGCCAAGGCAGTCTATATGTAGGCTATCAAGGCTACCTCCTATCAAAGCGACGGTTGACGGGATGGTCCTTTTCAGGACAAAGCGTCCGACTCCGCACCTCCGCGTCCCAAGAGCCATAGGCCTCCTCATCAAGAAGCTTGTTGCACAAAAACAGGATTCTAAATGGCAGCAGATGGAATGGCGCACAACTCAATGTATCGCTCGATGCAGGCTATATCGCTACCTATTGGTGTACGCTTCACTTCTACTATGGGTACCGTAGCTTGCACACTCACCAGCAGTCGCCACTCCGGCCTGGCCGTCTGCACGCCCGGCACAAGGCTGCTGCATGACAGTGCATGTGATTGCAGGACCATCTCGGCCGTGAACACTTTGGCGGCAGCCTCACAGATCCTATAAGCCAAATGAGTCCTCCCGGAAATATGTTCTTCTCGGTATCACCATCTTCATCGCCCCATCTTGTTCGCCATAGGACATGAAGGCTGTTATCGGGACATTGCTGGCAGTAGCAGCAGCAGTAGGCGTCTCAGCTGTGCCTGTTGAGCAACGCCAGACTACGGAATATGACTATATCGTAAGTATCCCAGCAGTCTCCAATCGATCAGATGCTGACACTCATTAAGGTCGTGGGATCGGGCGCCGGCGGAGGACCTCTCGCGTCAAGACTCGCGCAGGCAGGGCAGTCTGTGCTGCTGATTGAGTCTGGAGATGATCAAGGCACAAATTACAAGTATAGCACCCTCGAGGCAATCTGTGCCAGTATCATCTAACGTTGTGTAACGCAGCTATACAGTACCCGGATATCAAGCTGCGGTGACCCAAGACCCGTCGATCGCGTGGGATGTTTACGTCAACCACTACCAAGACCACACCAGAGCTCGTAGAGATCCCAAATATGTCGAGGGCAAAGGCATACTGTATCCTCGCGCAGGCACCCTTGGTTAGTCAGGGTGCTGCTTGTTAATACCAACTACAGCTAACAGTACATCTGTTTGAGGTGGCTGCGTTTCCCATAATGCCCTGATCTGGATTACACCTCATGCTTCCGACTGGGACAATATTGCGTCCATTACTGGTGATTCATCATGGTCCAGCTCGAATATGCAAAAGTACTTGGACAAGGTATATGAATGGCAACCTACTGGACCAACGGACCCGGCAATCTTACTGAAAGATCTTCAACTCGTGCAGCATTTGGCTGGCGGGGCGGCAGTCATGGGCTTTGGTCCGGATCCTCTTGCTGCAGTGTCCGGTCTTGCAGGCACGCTCTTGGTAGACCCCAATGGTGCCTCTGGCCGTGACTCACGAGAAGGCTTTTACCAGATTCCTCTGATCCAAGAAAATGGGAAAAGAGTCAGCGTCCGAGACAGAATCGTGGATACTGTCGATGGAGGCTTCCCTTTGACTGTACGCACTAACACGCATGTCACGCGGATCGTGTTTGATACCACTGGTGCCACTCCTCGAGCAACCGGCGTGGAGTTTCTGGAGGGCAAGCATTTATACCGCGCCAGTCCTCTCAGTGGTGCGAGTGGAACTCCAGGGTCTGCCCGGGCCAGGAAGGAAGTCATCATGGCTGGCGGATCGTACAACTCTGTCCAGACTCTGAAGCTCTCTGGTGTGGGACCAGCTGCAGAATTGAAGCGCTTCGGTATCAGCATGGTGAAGGACGTACCCGGACTGGGCAAGAACATGCAAGACCGGTACGAGGTTCCCGTCAATGCGAAACATCCCAATAACTTCCCCATCCTGGATGGCTGTACCTTTGATGCCAAGCCTCAGGATGAATGTTACAGCCGGTGGCAGAAGAATCCTTCTGTCCTGGGTCTTCGTGGTGCCTATGCCAGCAACGGATTGGCAGCGGCCATGGCCGTCAATTCCGACACGGCAGACAATAGTGACATTGACTTGTTCATCTTTGGCGGCCCGATCAACTTCACCGGATACTTCCCACGCTGGGGTGATGCTGCCGTTGCCAGTCACCAGGTCTTTTCGTGGTATACACTCAAAGCCCACACCAGGAATCATGCTGGGACTGTGGAACTTCGCTCGACAGACCCCCTCGACACGCCCCTCATCAACTTCAATTACTTCGACACAGGCACCACCGAGAACGAGGCCGATAGCAAAGACGTCGCAGCACTCGTCCAAGCAATCAAGATGTCGCGAGAGGCCAACACTCGCTACAGCAATTACGGTATCTTGCAGGGCACCAACTTCACAGAGGAGCGTCCTGGGCCGGGTGTGACGACGGATGATGAATTAGCACAATTCGTCAAAGATGAGGCCTGGGGCCACCACGCATGCTGTACAGCCCCTATTGGTGCAGATAGTGATAGTCAGGCGGTGCTGGACTCGAAATTCCGCGTGCGTGGAATCGATGGACTTCGTATTGTCGACGCATCGGTGTTTCCCAAAATTCCGGGTATATTCATCCAGGCACCGATATTCATGATTAGCGAAAAGGCCGCAGATGTGATACTGAACGGATGATGTGAGGCAGTAGGAGCCTAGGAGGTAAGGTAGTAGAGAGTTAAGGGTATAAAGCATCCGTACGTGAAACACACGTATCCCTTTGACAACATGACTCGGTTCACGAAAGTAGGAGGTAGTGGCCTTTTTTGACAGTTTCACGTATTGTCCCTTTCTCGTGACACTGACAGGTACGGTAGGTAGCTATAGAGGCTATAGTCCGTAAGCTGACACGTGACAGGTGTACAAAGGCGTGTACTGTAACAAGACAAGGGAGCCAAGACAAACGACAGCGTTGACAGGGCACAAGTATACGAGACTAGCAAGCTACTAACACCGCTAGAATGACTAGATCGACTCTCTTACTCGACCCCACTCTTGGGCCTTGGCAGTCATTCTGCAACAGTGCAAGTGTGCTGTGTTCAGCTTGAACTTCACTTCTCGGCATTCCCAAAGCAGCTGCTTTCATCATCACAAAGAGCAAGGTTCCTTATTCATATAACGCACGATAATGGGTAACTTCACTTGTGCCTGCAACACCAACGCATAATATTGGCATCCCTTACCTGGTACTATACCTTCCTCCAGTGTACAGAGACGTTCCATCGCCCGGCCCGCTCTTTCTTTTCTTCTTCAACCGCCCGTATTTAGAAGTTCGCATTCATTTGCGACCGGGAAAGAAAGTTCACTCCCAGCCCAGCCCGCACCATCTTCAGGGCATCCATGAACAAGCTTCCTGTGTCAACAAGAACGGTCCGACGCCGGAAGCGGAAATTCAACGCAAAAACACCCCCGTTGTCACTTGGATTGCTTGTCAACTGCTAGGATTAATACTAAAACACGCATGGGTGCACGTGGTTGGACAAGATGACTACTACTACTACTGCTGCTGCTGCTGATGCTACTACTGTTGCTGCGCTGAACAACATCCTGTGGACTTCGGCCAGCAATACCATCAACACCATCAGCATGGCGAGTCGGACATTTCTGGAGCATTATATTGCATATCTCACGTCCTGGAAAGGGTTCTTGGCGGTTGTTTTCGTGGCGGTGTTGAGTTGGGGAGTGTGGAGCGAGAGAAGGAGGCGGTTAGCAAGGGCGCGACTGGAGCGGAAAGATGTGGTATCCGGATGCTTTCGGTTGGGGCTGTATGGGAGAAGCGAACTGGATGACCAGTATCTGGAGGAAGGGGACAGTCGACGTCGTCAGCATGATCATCATTATGGCGAGAAACAGCAGAGGGCAGTCGTCAAGGCCATTTTCGTGTACCCGATCAAGAGTTGCGGCGGAGTGGAGCTGCAGAGAGGTGGAATAATCTCGACGGGAATGGTGTGTGATCGGATTTTCTCGTTTGCGCAGCTGGTTTCGACAGATACGACTCATGAGTGGCGGTTCATTACGCAGAGACAGTTTCCCAAGCTAGCACTGCTGCAGACGGAGTTGTGGTTGCCCGATGTGGAACAGGTCAGCGAAAACACGGAACTGGATAAGATCGGAAGCTGGTCCATGAATGGCGGATGCGTGGTGGTCCGGTTCCCATACCCAACAGACGCCAGATACGGTTCCAGCGCAGAAACGGTCACGATACGGCTGCCTCTTAACGCGACGTACGAACGCAGCAGAGCGAAGCAATATGTGGAAGAGAACGTCACCATCTGGACCGACCGCCCTCTGGCCATCAACATCACAAACGAGATTGATCCCAATTCACTCGCCAAACTAAAGTACTTCCTCGGAGTCAGCAACCCGCTTGGCCTCTTTAAACAACACGACGACCAACTCCGCAAAATCTCACGAAGTCTACCACCCAACAGCGCGGACCAAGATTATCGAGTAGGATTTCCGGATGCCTTTCCCATACATATCATGAACATGGCCAGTATCAGAGACATTGACGCCTCGCTGCCCGAAGAAACTGCAACCAAGGGAAGACTGGACGCTCGTCGATTCCGAGCAAACATTTACGTCTCCGGACCAGACGCATATACCGAAGATCGCTGGAAGCGAATCGCGATTGGGAACACAGCAAGTGAGAATGGACGGCAGAGTATTCCCGCCAAATTCCACGCAGCATGTCGGACCGCCCGATGTCAATTACCGAATGTAGATCCTCTCACTGGAATCAAGGTATGTATATATTCATTCTCGTCATTGTGGTGAAGACCATTGTTACTAATGCTCTTCTCCTCACAGGATCGTCACGAACCAGCCACGACATTGACACGAACACGACAAGTCGACGAAGGAGCGAAACCCCATCCGTGCCTGGGCTTGTCGATTATCCCGATGTTTGAGAGGGGTGTGGTGAGAATTGGAGATGAAGTCACAGTGCTCGAGACAGGCGAGCATTATTATCAAAAGATGTTTCCATCTTCGTAGCATTTCCTTGTGTTGGAGAAAAAGAAGGAAAAGAAAAGAAAGGGCTCGAGAGGCTCGAGAAATGATACAGTCTGTTATGAACAGTCTGATGATGAGAAATGATATATCTTTTGTGTGTGTGGATTTAATGTATATATGAATTAGTAGAGGCAGAACTCCTCGTGGTAGAATATGGTCTTTCTATGCCATACAGCGAATAAAGCTATTCACTACTACCTACTTAAGATGATGTATGCTCTTCTTCATTCATGAGCTCTGTTTTATGCTCTCTCTCTCTCTCTCTCTCTCTCTCTCTCTCTCTCTCTCTCTCTCTCTCTCTGATGCATGCTTTCAACTTTCAATTAGGTGAGTTCTTTCCACCACTCCGATGCTTACACTTCCTCCCCATTCCCCATTCCCCTCTATACATCATCTTCCCCTCTCCCATCCATCATCCATCATCACGATTTTAAAATCCTACTCCAACAACCCCCAACCCCCAACCACGCATGAAATCCCCATCAACCCTCCTATCCAATAACCCCTCCTTCCAATTTCTACTACTTTTCTAGTCGCTCCACTAGTCTGTTGTTGTTGTTGAGATGAAGGTAAGATTCCACTGTTTGTGATAGAAGGTGTTGTTGATGTCGTTGTTGTTCCGTTACGGCTACCGTGTTCTGCTATAGAAGTGGTGGTTGTGGTGTTGGTGTTGGTGGTGGTAGTAGTGTTGGTACTGCCGAGTACAATGGGAGGAGGAAGAGGGGAAGATGGAATGGAGGTTGTTGGAGCAGAGGTACTAGTAATATGGTCCGTTGTTGTTGTTGTTGTCGGAGGAGGAGGAGAAGGAGAAGGAGAAGAATATATCGTAACTCCAGAAGAGTAAGATGATGTCGTTGTCGTAGAAGTCGTCATCTCCACTGCCGCCTCTCCCTCCACCTCTACCGTCGCAGCAGAAGCAGTAGCAGAAGCAGTAGCAAAAGAAGCAGAAAAAGAAGAAAAAGCCACCCCCATCTCCCCAACCCCAGCAGCCAAATACAACGGACTATAACTCGCAGTCCCAGAATACAATGGACATCCCGGAACCGTAGTTTTCGGTGGAGCACGACCTCCTCCACAGTCGAGAAAATCGCAGACTTCGCCTGTTTCCGGAACGTACCAGGCGATGGAGGCGCCTGCGGGAGAGGAGACGGAGGTGGATGTGCAGCCTGTGAGGTCTGTGCGTGCGAGGACGACTTGGAAGGTGGTGAAGAGGAGGAGGTGGAGGTGATGCATTATTTCTTGATTGGATTTTTGGGGGTTTTGTTTTAAAAAAACAAATTTGGTTTCCTTTTTGTGATTGAGAAAACACTTGTGCTTTTCTTTTGGTAGAAGATGAGGACGATTGAGAACGGGCGAATGTTATAGGAGGAGGACAATGTGGCGAGATGGTTTTTATGTTTTTTGTGATTAGGTAGGGAGGAAGAGAGAGAGAGAGAGAGGTCGGAGAAAATCAGGAGAAGAAAAACAAAAGAAGGAAAACACACGACAACGCCAGACTCACTCACTCACATTTATTGGTTTTCTTTTTTCTTGAAAAGGATTGAAAACCTCATCTCATCTACTTCCGCATGAGACATCCGTCCACATCCTTCGCGGCTGAGAGAGAGGGTATGTGTGTGTCTTGTCTAAAAGGATGGCTGACGGAGCTATTTCAAGCCTTTTTCTTCAAAGGGGCCGTATTATACAAACGCCATAAGCGCTTCGCATGCGTCGTAGAATTTCGCCACTGCGCCAATAACACAGTCGATGGAGAGATGTGGTATTGTTCTGTCACTCTGGCAGAAACAGTCTTGAAGGAGTCGCGAAGCTGGTCTGGTCGAGAGTGAGTAGATAATGTGGTTGTGGAAAGGAGAGAGTCTCGTCGCGAAAGGTCTCGAGTGTCGTTGCTTCTCTTATAGTGATATTCCCGTCCACAATGGCTCGTTTATGAGGATGATGATGCTTCTTGATATAGTATCCTCTGGCATCGAGTCGTAAGGTAGCATCGCATAGATAAGGTATTTCTACCATGAAGAATGTGGGTATATGGAAGTGTCACGTGCTGACTCATTTGCCAAGCCTTCACCCGCCATGTTGATTGCCAAGAATATTTGGATTACATAATCTGTCCCTGTCGGTTCCCGGCTACAAACAACACCTCCCTCCCCTTTATCGAACTTCTGAGACTCCAATACATTGCCCCTACTCCGCCTACTCGAGGCGTGTCTGGTAAGGGTAAGTTCTCCAAGACTTTCGTATTGAAACAAGAAGCTGTACCATAGAACACACCGTAACCGGCCGTACCGGAAGTCTTCGACTAGCTAGGAGCCAGTAGCTATACCTGGCCAATCCAAGCCCTACTCCCATCTACCTGCAGTAGAGATGATGGAAAAGTGAAGACAAGGCAGAGCATACAGGAGAAAGCGTCGTAATTAACAGGCAATGGATTCGTAGAGGCAAGAACAGCCACAATGAAAACGAGATCCAAGTGGTTTACTGATCACAAGACTAGCAGGTCTACAAAATTGACGATGCAGCACTCAGATGCGGTTTTGCTGCATATTACCGTATTCAAGGATAGCATTCTTACACCTCACCTCGGAGCAACCCCCGGTGCAGCTGCACATTATTCTCACCTGCATTCTCGGATGTCTGAACCGCGCCCTGGTTGGATTATTTAAAAACATCAGGCTACTGAACAGGAATTCATCCTAGAGGGACCTTCTCCAGACTCCTGTTCGCAGGGCTAACACCTAGCAATGACAGCCAAGCTTCTTCTTATGAACCAGACTACGCGGTATACGAGACGATGTCTTTTTATACAAAGCCTATGACAATGTCGATAGAATTGCACTTTTTACTGTATCGACTTTTCGCCTGTATCGACACGAGATGAATGGCTGTGCCCTGGAGCTCACCGCCCATTACCACTTCCTGGTCTACGTCGTGGCGATATCGTATCGCATGACAATAGAGAGAGAGAGGGGGGAAGCCCTTTGTGGGTCAGACTTCTTTTCTTGTCCGAGCAGCTCCCAGGCGAAGCAGCTCCCCTATCAACTCTCGGGAATAACCACATGTGTACGTACGGGCATTCATCAAACACGAGACTTTCTGAGAGATTCTCAAACACGCGCCACTCGCCAAGTCAGACGAAACTAGCAACCCAAACATCCATCGCTCGAACACCTTCCTTCCCTCCCGGCACAGCCTCCAAACTGGCCTCACACGCATCCCGCAAAGCAAACACCACCGCCTGTTCCCTCTCATCACTCACGTGCTCCCGTACTTCCCTTTCAAACGCAGGGGAAAGACAAGCCGCAACCTCCCACTTCCCGTCCTCCAGCAACTCACCACAGGGCACACGAGATTCCCTCTCCAACTGCCATCCCGCCGCAAGCGCCAGCTCCGTAAGCCGTTTCGGCCCCAGCACCGTTCGAATGTTCGAGAGGCTCTTCCGGTCGTCCGGTTTGCGGCATTCCAGCGCAGCTTGCGTCAGCGCAGCGAGGACATGAGGCTGTGAAGCCTTGTGCGTCGCTTCCAATGCCCATTCGGCAAGAAGTAGCCGCTTACTAGTATTCGGATGCTGTTTGATGACACGGAACGTCTCCTCCACGAGCGAGGGAGTGGCGAAGTACCATAGACTGTGGGCCAGGACGGTTGCGTCGAAAAATGGCTGATTTTTCTTACTTTCGCTTTCGCTTGCTGCTGTTCCGGGGAGGGGGGAAGAAGAAGAAGAGAGGTACTCCAGGGGTTCTTGTCGCACCCAAGTAATTCTCTTGCCCATCGGTCCGCGGGAAATATGCTCTTGTGCTTGGCCGAGTGTATACGGAGAACCTGCCCCCCCACAAAAAAATAAGAATTTTCAACTCTCAGCCACAATCATCATCATCATCAAAGGATATCCACATGCAAAGTAAGAAATAAAAAATTTCACCCCCAAGCCAAAACTGCGTAGGGATAGGGATACGGTGTTTTCATTCCTTACCATAATTCAATTCCGCCGGATCAATCGCCACCACTCTTCCCCCCAGCTCTCCCCGTGCCACCGTATAGGCCAGGGTCACAGTACAGTCTCCTTGCCCACATCCTAGCTCGAGCACGTTTGAGCCGGGCGAGAGAGCTGCTGCTGCTTTCCAGTGCTGGACGAGATTGAGGCGATGGAGGATTTGAGAGTATTGGGTGTGGAAATGAGTAGGGTCGTGGAGGCAGAGGCGGGCGATGGTTGTGGCGGTTGTGGTCGTAGTAGTAGTATCATCAACAGTTGTAGCAGTATCGATTTGAGTGGACATGTTTCTCTTTTTTCTTTTCTTCCTTTGGCTGTTGGGTGGGCGTTTGTGTGTCGGTATCGGTATCGGAAGGGGAAGTTCAAGTAGTTTGAATGTTGTTGCAGTGATTCATTTTTTGGGACGGGGAGGGGAAGGGGGAGCTCCGAGCTAGGTGGATAAACAATAACAACCACGATTGATTGAGATTGTGAGAGATTTTCTCTAAATAACGAGAAACATAAGGGTTACTCACCTCACCTTGCCTTACCTTGCCTTACCTTGCCTCTTACTCCAATCCTTCCCTCTCCCTCCCCTTACCCCCTCCCCCGATCCGGTTCAGTCAGTCTGGAAATTCGGAAAGAAAAGAAAAATTCGACCCGAGTCACTATGCTGGATTTTCTACCTATACGACCTGCCCAGCGGTGATTTGTTTCAAATTACGAGTAACATCTCATCATCGGTCCATGTAGGTAGTAGTCAGGTAAGAAACAGAGAGAAAACAAAAAACGAATCACCAACATTCGTTTGTACTTACTTACTTGTGAAGGCTTTGTTCCGAAACAACCACACTAATATGATCTTAGGTACCCTGGCTATGGTAATAGATAGCATCAATTCAACAATTTGAATGTAAAAACCCTACCTATCGGTCTCACTCATATGTAGGATATATATATATCTCTCTCTCTCACTCTCTTTCAATCAAGATACATCAACTCCAACCAAACCGCGAAAAACAAAATCCACAAAGCGAATCAAGAAAAGCCTCATCCACCCACCCTAAACCTACCTACCTACCTACCACACAACAATGCAGCTTGCACACATCCTCCTCACTCTAGCCAGTCTCACCCCGACTCTGGTCTCAGCGGGTGTAGCCTGCAATGCTCAAGCCATGTGGAAACGACATGAAGGCTCTATGAGTCACGAGAAACGACACGTTTACGACAAAGCTTCTACTGGAGATGAGGGGCTTGCGAAGAGACATGTTTATGACAAAGCTTCTACGGGTGATGAGGGGCTTGCGAAGAGATATGTTTATGACAAGGCCAGCGTTGGTGATGAGGGGCTTGCGAAGAGACATGTTTATGATAAGGCTTCTACGGGTGATGAAGACCTTGCAAAGAGACATGTTTATGACAAGGCATCTACGGGTGATGAAGACCTTGCGAAGAGACATGTTTACGACAAAGCTACTATTGGCGATGAATAGATTTTTTCTTTTTTGCTTTTTCGAGAAACGAATCCGGCGCACGAGGTTGTTAGATGCAGTGAATAAATTTGGCGCGCTTTGTGGAAACCAACAAAACAGAAGCAAATCACTATACGAATGTTTTTTTTGTCGTTAGCCTGGGTTGGGTTGGGTTAGCGTTGGGTTAGATTACTTCACTTCACTTACTTAACATGACCTTACTCTTACCTGACCTGACTCAGGTTATCGATGAAATCTTGCAAGTCTTTTTCGCGTGCTATAAGGGGTTTTTGCTTTAGATGCGTTTGTTTTTTTTGTTAGCGGATGTACTTCTGTCTCTCTCTCTCTCTCTCTCTCTCTCTCTCTCTC